GAGAGACTGTCTTGGATCAATCAGTGGCCACTAACGACGAAGGTCACAGGGGCCAGTGGTAGTATCGTAGTTAAATTGGTTTGATGCAGGGTGTTTTCGGGATCGCATGAGAAGTTCCTATCCTGATGTCAACTCTACGTGTGAAAGAAGAAGAGAAAAGGTTATAAAGATTTTGATTTTATTTTGATCGTGTAACCCAAGTGGGTGTCCAACCGACAATGGCTGCTTTTGGTGGTCCCCTTTGGATGTTAGAGAATAGAGATCCTCCACGGTTGGAGCTGAGCTGGATTTTGTACTCCTTGTAATAGATCTTGTTATCTTATTTATTTAGTTTTGGCCAAATTGGCTGTCTTTCTTGTGAAGGAAATGAATGGATAATATTGTGGTGAGTTAAGTTGTTTGGAAGCATTTAGAAAATTAAAAAAAATATATCATAATTCATAGACAGTTATTTTCTTTATAAAGACTTTTTTTTTATTTTTACAAAACTTGATTGTAAAATTAAAATATGTGGCTAAATATGTATCAATCTAAGTAAAAAATTGGTTTTATATAGTATAAATATATCTAAAACATAAGTTAAATATCTGAGTACTAGGTGTTATGCCCGCATATGCGGGCATAATTTTCTTAGGAATATTTATTATTTTTTGTTCTATTAATTCTAAAATAATATTATAAATTATTTTCTATAGTTTTAAAAAACCTAAATCAAACATTAAAATATTTTTATATGATTTTTCATCAAAATCTATATGCTTATTACAGTGTTGAAAAAAATCCACATAATAAAATAGTTTTGAAAATATATTTATATTTTTTCTTAATATTTAATTTTAAATTGTTTTATAACTTAGATTTTTATTTTTCACAATAAAAAAGATTATTTTCAGATAACTGTATAATATTCTATAAGATATCTTATGTTTTAAATATGCATGAATGTAAATAATTATACTATTAATTTATAATAAATTAACTAATATAATAACATATAAATTTATAACATAAAATTTGGTTTTAACTAATTTATATATAAATATATAAATTTCATTAAAGGTATCATTAACTTGAACCGTTCCAATTTTTAATACCTAATATTTAATTATATAATTAAAAATATCTTTATACAAATGTTTTTGTTTGATTAATATTTATTTAAAATCGCATTTTATATTTTAATTTTTAAATTTTATAATATAATGATATTATTTTTAAAAGTCAAAATCAATTTTATATAAAATTAAGATCTATAAGCATTATCATGTTGTTACAATATTATATTCAGATAATAATAACATATATAAGAATTATCTTATTTTGTTTTTTTTTCTATAAACTTATTATATTAATTATTCTTTATTATCTAAGATAATAACATACTGTACTTATCTAATTTTATTTTTTTAATTTCGTTTTTAATTATAAAATTAGTTATATATAAAAATTTCATTAAGGGTAAAACAGATATTAACCGCTCTAACTTTTAACGTGGGAGCTCCGTTGCGAAAAATCACTTCGCAAATAATAGTATAGATTTGATTTTTCAGGAAGATAGTAATATTTACCTAAACGATAGTAATTTATTTACCGTTTACATTCTTCTGACTAATAAATCAGCAACAAATATTTTAGTGAAAATGTTTAGATTTGTTCATACAGAGATTAATTATATTGCTCATTCTATTATGGTCTAGGTGTTCAAATTATATCAAACTTGAATTAGATGAATGTTTGATGTTAAATGATTAACCATATTAAAGTAGTTAAATGATTTGGTGGCAAAATAAGAATAATTTTTTCTTTCAGGGCTTAATAAAATCCCATACTTTTATATTTGTGCGTAAATTTATGATATTTTAGTAAATTGTACTATTTAACATGATATGTGGACTAACATATGTTTTAGAAAACCCGCGGGAACCCACCGATATCAAGTAGAATTGCAAGTTATTTGTACAAGAATTCATTGATATCATCAACACCCTTGATTGAAAAAAGTAAGGGTCTTGTTTTACATAATAGCGAAGGTCAACTTAAATTGTTGTTGGTTAATTATTATCAAGGAGACTTTTCCTCTAGTGGACATACCAACTCGAAGTGATTTTTCAGTTCCACATGTTATACTAATTTAGTGAAATGTTCCCATAAATGTTAGAAACTGCAACTGTCACTTTGTTTAATCTAAATTCATCAAGTACAATTGAAAACATGAATTTTGATAGTAAATTATTTAACAGATAATTTATTGACTGATCAAATACGATTACATAGATAAAAAGATGAGGAATTCGAGAAGAACGAGAAGACTATGTAAACTCTAGTTCTTGTGCTGATTTCGAAGAGTTTGTGGATGCCCTTTCTTTTATATTTTATAGCTAGTCATATTTTATAGCTAGTCTTTTATTTTTTGCTTAAACAATATTTCATTTTAACCGTTTTAAGATGATTGGCCGGAATCTATTTATTAAACATGAATAACAGTATTAAAAATAAATATAAAATATATTTTCTTAATTACTTTTTTAAACAACATAATAATCATCATCTCAATAAAAATGAAATTACGGTTATGATTTGGATTGAATCATTATAAATGTGATATGGATCAGAAGAAAATATGATTAATAAAAAATCTATTAGAACTAACGCATTTTGAATATTATTATCCATGTTTTCAAACATATTTATTTTTAATATTTTTATTCATGTTTTTAAACATTTTTTTATTTTAATTTTAATTATATAGACTAAATCAGTCGTAACTGTGATAGAGTTTAACAGAGTTTTTCAGCTAACTGTTTAGGTAGGTCATGCTATAAGCCTATAAAATAGAAAAAAATTGGCTATCAAAGTTCAATTCCTTAACATTTACTAATTGCTTACAAGGATGTCGGCAAATTAAGATAAAACTTCTTTAAACTAATAATTGATAAATTAAAATTTTGTATTTCTCTCTGTTTCAAAATAATAAATATTTTAATATTTTCACATTTATTAAAAAAACATATTAAAATTTAATTATAAATGCATAATTTTCTGTAATGTTATATTTTCTATATTTTTAAACCAGTAAGATTTCAAGAAATACAATTAATATTTTTTGAATTCAAAATTTTTATTATTAACTGATAAATGCATTGAAAATTTAAAAAATAGTTTTTTAAAACAAATTTTATTTCTAGAATATGCATATTTTTGAAACAGAAGGAATAATAAATTTCACCGGTCCTAATTATTTGGATCGGTAGAAAAGGATAAAATGATATAATAATAAATTTCAGAAAATTCTATGTAAAAATATGATCCCATTAAAATTATAATTAATAATTTATATATATATATATAAGTAAAAAACTTTCATTATATTGTTTATTTTACATTCACAATTGAATTATCTTTATATTTTCTTAACACATAATCTAATTTTAATGAGATTTAGTTATATTATATCTAAAAACACATTTAAATTATATGCGATATATATTGTATACACTAAATAATATAACAAAAATAATATAAATATCAAATTTAAAAAATAATAATTAATGTCTATAGATTAAAATCAAAATGTCGTTATTATCTTAAAATAAATATATTTTAAAATAAAAATAAAAATAAGCAAATTTTATAAATTAAAAATTTCAAAATTTAACATATTATTAATTTATAGAAGTTTTATTTAGCTGTAATTGGATATTTAACAGTCCTATTAGCGAGTCATGGGTTTTCGGCCCAAAGAATATATAATTATATTTCCATATGAGCCGACCCGAGGTTGCTAACTTAATCAGGTTTAGACACGCCAGCTAATTAGCAGTACGATTTTCCAACCGAATTTTTTTTTTAATAATATTGTGTTCTTATATTTCCATATGAGCCAAGGTTTCTAACTTAATCAGGTTTCTTTGTTTGTGAATATAGTAAAACTGGGAAATCACTTTAAATTTTTGTGTCGTTTACTTTTCTTGTTTATCATTTGTTTCGCATGTTTATATCATTTACCATTTGCTTCAATGGTGTCAGTTAGGATTTACCCAGAGTCCTTTCAAAAGCTTCCTCCACATCCTCCACATCCATGAACCAAGTGTACTGTTTTTATTGACATTCCAGAGTGACCTTTGCTCACTTCTGTAGTCTTGTCACTGCATAGTGTTCTTATGGTTGCATCTCTTCCTAGGAGGACATTTGTTTCACAAGTTTGGTTTGGACTATTGAGAGCATGTTGTGTCACCAAGTCAAATGGTGTTTGTGTCGGAAGCTAAAGACTTGGTGGAAGCAATTAAAGGCCCAGGGCGTGGCCGGTCCTGTCCTTGCTAAAAGCGTCATATCAGGTTAGGAATCAATCTTATTTTGCAGCTGATCATCCTCAATGACTTGTAGTTTGTACTTTGTAGACTTGTATTTTTTATGCTTTGGTTGGGCTGGTTTAGTTTTGTATGCCTCTTTTGGGTTGGGCTGGTTTTTGGTTATAAGTTGATGTTAAGTGGGTTTATGTCTGTCTAGTTTAGTGGGTTTGTAAACCTTTGAAACTTTTTTCTTCAGTGTAAACCCATGTGTCAAATTTTGCTATATAAAGAATTCTGTCTAGCTTAGTGCGCTTGTAACCCTTTGAAAGTTTGTTCTTCAATATAAAACAAACCCATGTGACAAATTTTGCTATATAAAGAAATTCTTAACAGTACTTTCATGTAGTATAAGATGCTGTTCTAAGTTTAATAAAATCATTTGTACTTTTTACAGTGGAAGCCACGTGTCTGTGGAAGGGAAAGAGTAAACACAAGTGATTCCGTTGGCTTTTTCAACCAAAAAGACAAAGACAAAAGCTGTAAGTGGAGGACTGAGTCAAGCCGCAACGCGTGGAGATAGATGATAGTAATACTCAAAACATCAAAACCGAACGTTGATACTTTCTTTCATTGACTAAGTTGCCCTTAGCCGCACTTCTCGAGGTTAAAAGGCAAGGCCATAAAGATATTAATCATCATCAGCACCATAAACTCAGAAAGCATCTCAGTCTATTATTATTTTTTTCCATTATAGAGCTCCGAGAAACAGACACGACATAATCACAGCTAAAAGCTCTGTTTCTTGGTTCCTTAATTCTTTAATTCTTTTTTCTTTAAGATTGTATTCTTCTTTTACTTTATATTCTCTGGTAGATTATCTACCGTAGATATATATCATCAAGCAGTGTTTATTTTGTATCATCTCTTTCTTTTTGAATTTATTTGTATCTTTCAACTCCGGAGATCGAGTTCCTGATCGGTGCTAAAAGGAAGTCCAAGAAGATGTGGTGGATGATGGGTGAAAACGGTGGTCACTACTGTTCTAAAAAGTCAGATGATCTATGCGGCACACAGGTTCTATTCTTCTTTAAATCGTTTCTTTAAATTGAAACAAGATCTTGTTTAGTCAATGGTTCTTGATTTGGTAAATGAAACTTTCTTGATCTACTAAACTGTAGATCTTAAGGTTCTGATCTGAGTAATATTATTTTCTTGAATTAGATTGATCTTTTTGTTTGAATTTACATATAATCTGCGGTCAACAATTTTGTTTTTGTTTTTGTTTATACAAGACATGAGTGGATCAGCTGTATTGACTTTTTTTTGTGTGTGTCTAAACAGGAATCAGATCGAGGCTTTGGCATCACCAGACTATGTTGCATGTTGCGTGGTGTGGACTTAAAGTCAATCACATTCCTCTTAGTAATCGTCCCATTATGTGTCATCGGTGTATACATTCACTTCCTCAAGATCTCATACTTCTTGAGACCGTTATGGGAATCACCACCAAAACCCTTCCACGACATTCCTCATTACCACCACGAGAACGCTTCCATGGAATCTCTCTGTAAACTCCACGGCTGGGGTATTCGCGAATACCCTCGCCGTGTCTATGACGCCGTCCTCTTCAGCACCGAAGTCGAGCTTCTCACCATACGGTGGCAAGAACTCTACCCTTACGTTACTCAGTTCGTTCTCCTCGAGTCTAACTCCACCTTCACCGGTTTACCAAAACCGCTTGTTTTCGCTAGCCACAGGGCTGATGAGTTCAAGTTCGTCGAGCCGAGGTTGACTTACGGGTCGATAGGAGGAAGGTTCAAGAAAGGAGAGAAGAATCCTTTCTACGAAGAGGCTTATCAGAGGGTAGCGTTGGATCAGCTTCTAAGACTCGCGGGTATCACAGATGATGACTTGCTGATCATGTCTGATGTCGATGAGATCCCGAGCAGACATACTATAAACCTTCTCCGTTGGTGCGATGACACACCGCAGATCCTACACTTAAGACTTAAGAACTATCTCTACTCTTTCGAGTTCCCGGTGGACAACAAGAGCTGGAGAGCGTCGGTTCATAGATACAAGACCGGTAAAACAAAGTACGCCCATTACAGGCAGTCAGATGAGATCTTGGCGGACTCAGGATGGCATTGTAGCTTTTGTTTCAGACGGATCAGTGAGTTTGTGTTCAAAATGAAGGCTTATAGTCACTACGATAGAGTGAGGTTTGGGCATTACTTGAACCCTAATAGGGTTCAGAGAGTTATATGCAATGGAGATGATCTGTTCGACATGATTCCGGAGGAGTACACGTTTAAAGATATCATCGGGAAGATGGGTCCGATTCCACATTCTTACTCGGCGGTTCATCTTCCTGCTTACCTCTTGGAGAATGCGGAGAGGTATAAGTTTCTACTTCCGGGGAATTGCTTGAGAGACAAGGAATGAATGGTTCTTGAAACTAAAATATTGATATCACACTACTTACTAACTCATGATTATTGATATTCTTTGTGTGAATTATTCTTTTTTAGAATGGCCATTGTTATTGGTGCTTTGGTGTAAATAAGCAACTGATTTATGAGTTTAATTCTTTTTGTCGATTTGTTTAACAAAAAGTGTGTCATTTGGCAAAACTTGAAGATGGTGTGTGGAATAATACACGTTATAGCATATGCTACCACAATTGGGAAGATAGTGAACTAATAGTCCAAATGATACAAAAACGAACACTAACCAGACCAAAAACGAGCACATAGAAAGTAATTGAGATGGTAGGGCTGGTTACAAGACCTAAGGAGTGGCCTTCTTTCAAGTTTCAGAGCTCAGAGTTGTTGAGATCTTTGGCCGGGATCGAATGGTGGAGAGTGATCAAAGAAGACAAGATAACAAATAGAGGAGTTGTTGAGATCTTTGGCCGGGATCGAATGGTGGAGAGTGATCAAAGAAGACAAGATAACAAATAGAGGAGCCTTTTTCATTGCTCAAAGTGTCATCACTACCAACCGTATGCAGTCTTATGTAGCAGCTGGTCAGCCTCAGTGGCTAAATGACATCTTTGATAGTGAGAAACTTTAGCCCTCTCTTTGGTTATGTGTCTAAAGTTTGGCATGTCTGGTTTTTTGGCGTTTGAAAATTTACCTCTTTGTATGTTTGGAGGTATGGAAGTAGATTGTAGAAGTATGTTACAGATATGTGGTTTGTAACAAATGGTACTTCAGCCCAAGTTTAATATAATTCGTAGATGACAAAAAAAAAAAAAAGTAATTGAGATGATGATACAAAGGGCGTACTGATTGAACCGTTAGGTAAGTACAGAGAGAATCGGTTGATTTTATCAAACTGACTTTTAGTTTTAGGCGGCTGCAAATGATTGATAGTATCTTTTAGGTTTTTGGTTGGAAATGTATACATGTTCTTTGCCAAACTAAAAATGAATACATGCTGTTAAAGACATGTGTCCACACAAATTATGAACAGAAGAATATAAATGATACCCTCCTTTAGTCACATCTATCCTCTCTTGCATTCTTTATTGTACACATGTTCTAGTCAGCTCGTTTCAATTTCTTATCTGGAATTTGGAGGATTCATTATATAAATCTTAGACCATCCGCAATGACGGATCCTTACGGGGAATCCTTAAAAAAATATTAATTTTTTAATCAATGGATCCCATGAATAGTTAATGATTTTATCCTAAAAATCTTTATGTAATAATTGATCCTTACACTATTCATGGGCTCCATTGCACACGTGGCGGTCCGTGAGTGGTCAGTTTTTTTTAAAAGAAAAAATCTGAAATATCCTTATATAATCCGAAATATCCCTTTTTCTTTTTTTCCTAAGGATTTCTCCCAAGGATCCGCCATTACGGATGCTCTTACCGCTAGGTCAGGGCACTATAAAATTATGGTACTGTTTATTTGCGTATTTTAACATTCCTAACTGAGCTTGGCGATCAATAGTTCTGGTTTGGATATTTTTTTAAATATAGAAATATAGATTGTTCGTGCATTTATATAAAATCTGGCTTAGTTTTGATTCAGTTTTTTTTTTCTTTTTTTTTTCTTTTTAGTTTTTGGTTCTATTCTAATAATAATGGAAATCAGCTAATATTTCTTCTCACAAAAAAACGACTAAGATAAAAAGTTGGATATGATATGAATTTAGTTTAATTCGATTTTCGATAGTTTTGGATAACTAATGAAAATATTAGATAATTTGAAATGTTTAGATAATTTTTTGAATTAAAATAATAATAATAAAGATAATTTATATTTCAAATATTCAGAAAATATTTGGAAACATGTTCAGTCTTCGATTTGGTTTTAGTTTTGTATGTAGGAGAACATGTAGCATTGAGATATTTGTGAATTTTAGTTTAGTTTAGTTTTGATTTTCTAGTGCTGCTCCATTTAATAATTGGGGTTTTGGATATGGGTTATTTGTCAAATAATTAAGAAGAAAAACAAAATTAATTTTTAAGAAAAAGAGTAGAGAGAGATAGGAAAAAGAAAAAAAAGAGAGAGAATGATTTTAGTTAGTTAATATATTTTGACTTTTTTACTGTTTAGTAATGCAAGTTTTTTGGGATAAAAGATCGTAACTGAATGCAACAACTATTTTTATGTATATTTATATCTATAGTAAACATAAGTTTTTTTTTTTGGGAACCTTGTGTTTTGCAATTATTTACACCAGTGTCACTATCTTTTAATTTTAATATTTTTTATTTAAATATTTTCAATTGTTAATACTTATATTTATCTATAATTTAGAAATTACTTATGTCTACCTATAATTTAGGAAATTATGGGTGATACAGATTATTAATTTATTCTTTAACTATGCGATTGCTAAGTTATATCTAAACTATTATTCGATCGAATAAAGTAGTACAACTGCGTGGGATTTACTTTTTTTTGTTTTTTATATTGTTCGTTTTTGGATCCATTTTTAACTATTTTTGGGTTTGAACTTGTTAAACTTTAGAGTTTATCCAACTATTTTGATCTTTAAAATAATAAGAAAAAAAAAACATAAAAACCCTGTAAACTAAAAGCCTATATGATAATATTCCAAATCAAAAATAAATGATAACAACGTGGTTTGAATCCATGATCTAGCAGGCTTAGTTAGACACCTTATACCACTCGGCTAAAGTGTATTTCATTGTTCCTAATCATCTTACCAAGACTATGGCTTTTTAAAAAATACCTATGGGACCCACAAAACTGCTGACGTGGCGCGCTGTGGAACCTCGAAAGTGTACTATTATAATATAGACTAGATTTTATACTCGCGCTACGCGCGAGTCTGTATTAATAATTTAATTTAGTTTTAAAATAACTTAAAACCAAAACATTAAGTGAGTAATATATTTTTTTATTTAAAATATAATCATTATTTTAGTATTTATATTTTCTTATAATTATGTTATCTTATTAGCTATTTTGTTATTTGTATTTGTAAATATAATAATTATGTTTGTAAACATATTCAAAATTTTTGGAAATATTAATATATATTTCAAAATATTAAATAGATTTCTCAATGCATGTAAACTGTTAACACGTTATAATATTTTCATCATACATTTTCATATTTTTTAACAAAATAAATGATTAAACTTCAGCATATATAATATATAATTTTTCTTTGTACTCAGAAAATATCATTTTTTTTATTTTCTCTTTAAGTTGNTTTCTCAATGCATGTAAACTGTTAACACGTTATAATATTTTCATCATACATTTTCATATTTTTTAACAAAATAAATGATTAAACTTCAGCATATATAATATATAATTTTTCTTTGTACTCAGAAAATATCATTTTTTTTATTTTCTCTTTAAGTTGTATAAAATTTTAATATTTAAATAAGAAATATTTAGATTTTTTTTGTATATGTAACGAACAACTCTATTTATTAAAATATTTTTATAGTATAGATTTTTGTTACCATTCACCTTTTTAGAAATAATAAAATTAAGATAGTCATTTACCAAATTCTTTTGGTATTTACTTTATGTTAATTTTTAAAATTCTTCTACGTACTTAGTTAACTACCTCACTTATATATGATGTTTTTACTTTTGTAAGTTTATCAAATTTTGATACTGATTTACATTTTATTTTGAAATAGAGATCATTTTTGTTTATATTGACCTTTTCTAAGAAATATCATAATTAAGATAATTAGTTATTTTAATGTTAATTTCACCAATCTGTAATATAGTAAAGTTAACTTATATATAATTTTTTTACTTTTGTAAGTTTACCTGATACATATTTATTTTTTATTTTGAAATTATTGTTTTGGCAACATTAAGTTAACTTATATATGATGTTAAATTATTTTTTATTTGACTAATTATTTGTGGTAATTATTTTATGTTATTTTCGAAATTATTTTATATATTAAGTTAACTTATATATGATGTTTTATTTTTGTAAGTTTTACATATTTGATATTGATTTATATTTTATTTTTAAATTAATAATTTTTTAATATTGACTTTTACAGAAGTAAAGTTAAGATAATTTGTTATTTTAATTAATTTCCAAAATCTATAAATGTTAAAATTAACTTATATATAATGTTTTAATTGTTTAAGTTTCCCTTATATATATTTATTATTACTACTATTTTTTAGTAACATTAACATTTTTAAAAATAACAAATCAAAAAACTTATGTATCATGATATGATCGGAAGACTTAAATCCTATGAGGTCGTTATAGTTATATTGAATTTTTCAGAAATATTAAAATTAAGATAACTTGTTATTTTAATGTTAAAATTAAATTATATATAATGTTTTAATTTTTTAAGTTTCCCTTATACATATTTTTTAGAAACATTAGCATTTTTTAAATAACAAATCAAAAAACTTATGTGTCATGATATGATTGGAGGATTTAAATTCTATGTGGACGTCTCCATAGCATATAGCCTTAACTTTTATATAATATAGATAATATCTAAATAAATTTATTCATACCGATCAATAAGTAATAACTCGAAACTCATTAGCAAATTAGCCTTATAGATATTACGTGCTTTCCAAAAGTGAATCATTCTAGCAAGAACTTCATTCTTATTAAAACATTTTCTAAGATCCTCGAAAACCAATGAAGAAGTCAAAACAACCATTGTATCAATATATCTTTTCTCTTTCCAATATCTCTCTGTTTCTCAACATATATTTTGAAAACTTTTAGAAATTTAACAGTTATTTATAGTCACCCAATACTTCATATATTATAAATTTCTTATTTTATTTTATGTTAATATACAGACATTTGAAAATCCTAACATTAAAATTTGGAAATCTTGACATTTTAAAAATTAATAATTTATATTAATAACCTGCTTTATTCTATTTTATGTTAATATAGAGAACTTTAGAAATCCAGACATTTAAATTTGGAAATCTTGACAATTTATTTATATTAATAATTTGCTTTATTCCATTTAATGTTAATACAGAGAAATTTGGAAATCCTAACAAATAAATTTGGAAATCTTAACATTTTAAAACTAATAATCTATATTAATAACCTGCTTTATTATATTTTATGTTAATATACAAAAATTTGGAAATCCAGACATTTAAATTTGGAAATCTTGACAATTTAAAAACTAATAATTTATATTAATAATTTTCTTTATTCCATTTAATGTTAATATAGAGAAATTTGGAAATCCTAACATATAAATTTGGAAATCTTAACATTTTAAAACTAATAATCTATATTAATAACCTGCTTTATTAGATAATATTTTATTTTAATTAAACTAATTTGGAAACAGTGATATTTAAAAAAAATTAAATTTATTTTATTTCTGTAAGATGATTTTTGTTACTTTACTATTTTACTATTAGATTATTATTTTATTTTTGTATAAAATATACTTTATATTTAGTATATATAAAAAGACAATAATGTTTTGTCAATATTTTTTTTTCCATGTTTTTATAACAGTTAACATTTTTAAGTAAGTTGAAAATTTTTAATATTTATTTTTTTAGTTAAATTATATATGGAATGTTAATTTCGTTTTTAATATAATTTGGAAACATTGACATTTTATAAAAATGATACTTTACATTTAGTATAGCTAAAAAGACAATAATGTTTTTTTAATATTACGTTTTTATTTTTGATTTCCATTTTTTTATAACAGTTAACATTTTTAAGTAATTTTTAAAATGTTAGTATTTATTTTGTTATCTAAGTTATATATGGAATATTAATTTCGTTTTTAATATAATTTGGAAACAATGACATTTTATAAAAATAATAAACTAATATAATGANTTTAAAATGTTAGTATTTATTTTGTTATCTAAGTTATATATGGAATATTAATTTCGTTTTTAATATAATTTGGAAACAATGACATTTTATAAAAATAATAAACTAATATAATGATGTGTCATTATACGATTGGAGGACTTAAATCCTATGTGGACGTCCTCAATGGCTTATAGCCTCAACTTTTATATAGTATAGATTTTAATTAAACTAATTTGGAAACAATGATATTTAAAAAAAAAATTAATTTAAATTTATTTTATTTTTGTAAGATGATTTTTGTTACTTATACTATTTTACCATTATATTATAATTTTATTTTTGTATAAAATAAACTTTATATTTAATATATCTAAAAAGACAATAATGTTTTGTCAATATTTTTTTTTGATTTCCATTTTTATAACAGTTAACATTTTTAAGTAAGTTGTAAAATTTTAATATTTTTTAGTTAAATTATATATGGAATATTAATTTCGTTTTAATATAATTTTGAAACATTGACATTTTCTAAAAATGATACTTTACATTTAGTATATCTAGAAAGACAATATTGTTTTGTTAATATTACGTTTTTATTTTTGATTTTCCATTTTTTATAACAGTTAACATTTTTAAGTAATTTGTAAAATGTTAATATTTATTTTGTTAGCTAAGTTATATATGGAATATTAATTTCGTTTTTAATATAATTTGGAAACAATGACATTTTCTAAAAATAATAAACTAAAATAATGATGTGTCATTTTACGATTGGAGGACTTAAATCCTACGTGGACGCTCTCAATGGCTTATAGCCTCAACTTTTATATAGTATAGATTATTATTATTATTATTATTATTATTATTATTATTATTATTATTTGAGGACATCCTCCCTTTTGCGGTGGTCGTGGCCCAGTCCGTGAGGAAGGTCAGCAGTGAGGTTGCGTCGCAGATGCTATGAGAGACAGAGACTGAGACCGCCACTCTAGATCCCGATCCGAAGAAAGTAACCTTGACCCTCAACAAAGGCCACTCCGTGGGAGAATCTACAAGGGCCATTGTCGGGTAAAATCTCTCCAGGGAATTAGAGTTGACGTCTTTCATCAAGTCACAGAGAAGGAGATCGGTGCGTGCCTCAGTGAAGACGGCTCCTTCGTCGTTGCAGCTGATGGTGATGCCTTCTCTTCGTCCAGCGAGTGGATAGAAGCGCGACAGAGTCTGGGACAGTGAGCTCTTCAGTTTCGCGGAGATGATCTCTGGCGCGATATCTTCATCATCAGTTTCGTAGAAGAAGATCACGGGCACGTTAGCTGGGCTATTCATGAGATCCAGCAGGGAGAGTTGAAGACAATCATTAGTTGAAGGTGTAGCAGACTTGATCACTTCTCTCTCTACTTCTTCCATTTTCGTTTCCCTCTAGCTCTTCAAAAGTCAACATGTATATGCTTATGCTTAGGGGAGAGTATCGTCGATAGAATTGAAGCAACGCATCTCATGACTCGCATATATAGAGGTATTCATTCTAGCCAACCCCACAAAGTTAATAAGTTTATGAGCAAGCAACCATCTACACTGGTTACACTTTTTCAAGACACTTCTTTTACATTTTTAACATTCCACGTTATATTTTATTTCTTTCACCTAATAATATAACATTTATCTGATTTTGAAACTTATACTACCTCCGTTCCTGAAAGTAGAATTTTCTGGATTTATTTTCTGTTCCATAAAGATAGATTTTCTATATTTTTAAGATAATTTTGTATACTTTTAAGAAGCATTAATTATGAATATTTGAATTGACTGAATTTTATTGGTGGATATTTATTAAAAAGTGGGTAGAAAAACAAATAGTAAATGTAACTATGAACATTTATTATATTTCTTAATATGCGTAAATAGTCTAGAAAATCTTACTTTCGGGAACGGAGGTAGTAATAGTTTTGTTTAACTAAATTTAACATCATACCATCCTTTTTTATCTCATATTGTAATTGGTTTACGTTTGTAGTTTATGAACAAACAGTAACCTTTTAGATAGTTAAAATAACAGTATAATATTTTCTATGTCAAAACAATATTACTAAGATTTATTTAAAAAAAACAATTAAAACACACAGAATAGTTGATTAGAGGCTAATCAAAATATAATGAAAATTGACGAATTTTTATATCCAAATGAAATGTGACGAGTCTTTATTTATAAATCATAAAATGTTGAATTTTGGTATATTGTTGTTTTAATAAAATATTTTGCCATGAAATAATTAAATTTGAATAATTTGAAAGAAGAAAAAAAATACAAGTTTTAGAAATCAATAAAACAAAGAATGTGGATCATATCCAACATTTATTCCTTTCATAGTTTTTTTCATGTGGCAGAATTGGAACAATTTCATCTTCCTTTTTTTTGAAAAAGATTTAACCATTGGATTCCGAACCCTAAACCCTAAACTAAATCCTAGGTTTTCAAACCCTAAATCTTAACACTTCCAAACCCTAAATCTTAACCCTAGGGTTCCAAACCCTAAAACCCTAGGGTTCCAAACCCTAAACCCTAACCTAGGGTTCCAAACCCTAAAACCCTAACCCTAGGGTTACAAACCCTATAACCCTAACCCTAACCCTAGCGTAGGGTTCCAAACCCTAAAACCCTAACCCTAGGGTTCAAACCCTAATCCTAGGATTCCAAACCCTAAAACCCTAACCCTAGGGTTCCAAACCCTAAAACCCTAATCGTAGGATTCCAAACCCTAAAACCCTAACCCTAGGATTCCAAACCCTAAAACCCTAACCCTAGGGTTCCAAACCCTAAAACCCTAACCCTAGGATTCCAAACCCTAAAACCCTAACCCTAGGGTTCCAAACCCTAAAACCCTAACCCTAGGATTCCAAACCCTAAAACCCTAACCCTAGGGTTCAAACCCTATAACCCTAACCGTAGCGTAGGGTTCCAAACCCTAAAACCCTAACCCTATAACCCTAACCCTAGCGTAGGGTTCCAAACCCTAAAACCCTAACCCTAGGGTTCCAAACCCTAAAACCCTAACCCTAGGGTTCCAAACCCTAACCCTAGGATTCCAAACCCTAAAACCCTAACCCTAGGGTTCCAAACCCTAAAACCCTAACCCTAGGGTTCCAAACCCTAAAACCCTAACCCTAGGGTTCCAAACCCTAAAACCCTAACCCTAGGGTTCCAAACCCTAAAACCCTAACCCTAGGGTTCCAAACCCTAAAACCCTAAACCTACCAGTTCATAAACCCTAAAACCTAGAGTTCCAAACCCATTCCAAACCCTAAACCCTAGGGTTCCATGCCCTAAAACCCTAACCCTAGGGCTAAACCCTAACCTTAAGGTTCCAAACCCTAAATCTTAAACCCTAAACCCTAACCCTGAGTTGAATGTTTTCAACGGATTGAAAGAAATGAAATGAATTTATCAAAAAAAGAACTTAAAAGGATACAAAAAGTGAAGGTAACAAAAATAGCAAGCATTAACATATAGTGAATAAACAAAAACAAGATAAACACATCATAGTAAACCCAACATGAAATGTAAAGAGAGTGAAATGCAATTTATTAAACCACGCGTGGCACAAAATGGGATGGAGAGTCAAGGCAATTAATTTTTTCCACATGGTATGTGCTTGGTTAGATCAAGACCGGGGGGTTTAGAACGGCATAAGCAAGAAGGTCTTGGTCACGGAGGAAGATGGGGATATCTTGCTCGGGTAAGCTTATCCATGCTTCTACACTTGCACCATCTTTTGAGTCAATGAGGCATACATATGCAATGTTGTTATATGTCGAGGTAGATCCAACCCATGCAGGAGTACCCCAGCCAAAGTCAACCTCGTAGAAAGGCTTTCTACACCAGCTAGTCATTGAGTACAAGTCTGTCTCTGGCGTGAGACTTGACGCGAAATCTCCAATGACACGCATTAAAGACTGACCAAGTGTGTTGCCTTGAAGATTCTCTTTAATCATCTCGTTGACTGATTCCTTGGCCTTGCGAAATTCGGCAACCGTTTCACACATTTCCAAGTCGAAAATGCTGCTGCTTTCCACGCCTCTCTTAAGAAGGAACATTGTCTGTATGTTTCTGATGGAGAAAACATCCGTAGAAGGGACCCTAGAGCGCAAATCCATTGGTTGAAGCATTAACGTTGACCTTGGAGACACCATGTTAGAGTGCCAGGCATTTCTGGCGCATGTCCAAACAAGTGACATGATAACTTTCACACATGTAGGTGCGGGGACACCTGCTCCTTCGACCTTTCGTTTCAGCTCTTCGATCTTATAAGATTCGAAAACAAACCTATTCATTACACACTTCCCCAGTGGACCGACAGTAGGTAGAGACCATAAAAAGGAGATATCAGGAGGAGGGTAAATGGTCGTCTCAACAAAATGAATCGTATTATTATTACTAGTTGCATACTCCCCGCGCAAGCGCGGGGCTGGGATCATTGTGTTTGCGTGTATTTTTTTCAATTGTTGCTTTAGTGGATTCTTCTAATGACATCAAATAATAATGAAATGGAAAGAATGTATAAGACTGTAAAGTGAAACTATTGTATATATATTGTGTTAAATGTTATTTATATGCGAAGTAAGCTTTATAGGAATAGTTAGGATATAATATAGTTTTAGTGTGTATAAGTAGGTGTATATTTTTTTATTGCTGTAAATAGTTTTTATATCGTAGGTCAAAATTTGATATAATTCTATATTTATAGTATTTATATTTGTATTACACGATTTATCAATTTGAAAATAACCTTAATTAAGTTAATATTTGTTGTTTAAGTTTCATTAGATAGGTTTTTATATATGGTTTTTTGTAAGTTTGAGTTTTGTTCATAAATGATGTGGCATTTTTATCTATGGCGTCATTGACTGTGGGAATCCATTCGCCGGAGTCTGGAGTCGGTGGTGAGGAATGTTTTCAATGAAATTATAGTAGTTATTAAAATATAAGAGAATTTACATATTCATTTAATAAATAACGAAAAGTACTTAAATTTTGTTGTTTATTTTATTTTATTTCACATACAAATTTTTTTATATATTAAGAATGTGTTAATGTTTTTATATGCAAAGTAAGGTTTATAGGAATATAGACTATAATATAGTTTTTAGTGTGTAAAAGTAGGTGTTTTTTTTTGCTGTAAATAGTTTTTATATCGTAGGTAAAAACTTGATATAATTCTATATTTATAGTATTTATATTTTTATTAAATGATTTATCAATTTGAAAATAACTTTAATTAAGTTAATATTCGTTGTTTAAGTTTCATTAGATATATTTTATATATGGTTTTTTGTAAGTTTGACTTTTTTTCATAAATGATGTAGCATTTTTATATACGGCGTATCGACTGTGCGAATCCATTCGTCGGAGTCTGGAATCAGTGGTGAGAAATGTTTTAATGAAATTATAGTAGTTATTAAAATATAAGAGAAATTACATATACATGTAATAAATAAGGAAAAATCATTAAGTTTTGTTGTTTTTTTATTATATCTCACATACAATTTTTTTGAAAATATATATTAGGAAATATGTGCAATGATTTAACTTTTTGAGCTCTATCTATATTATTCAAGCCTCATTAAACCATCCACGTATGCAGCCGCATGAGACTCTTTTCTTGTTTTTGTTTTTTGGCCTGTTCGTTTTTGGATCCATTTTTTATTATTTTTGGGTTGAGCTATATTATAATATGACAGTTTTAAGGCTCTTTAAGCCATCCGCGTAGGCAACCGCGTGGGACTTACTTTTTGTTTTTGTTTTTTATATTGTTCGTTTTTGGATCCATTTTCAACTATTTTTGGGTTTGAATTTGTTAAACTTTAGAGTTTATCCAACTATTTTGATCTTTAAAATAATAAGCAAAAAAAAACATTAAAACCCTATAAACAAAAAGCCCATATGATAATATTCCAAATAAAAAAAAACAAAAATAGATGATAACAATTTGAACCCACGATCTTGCTGGCTTAGTTAGACACCTTATACCACTCGGCTAAAGTGTATTTCATTGTTCCTAATCATCTTACCAAGACTATAGCTTTTTAAAAAATACCTATGGGACCCACAAAACTGCTGACGTGGCGCGTTGTAGAGCCTAGAAAGTGTACTTTTATAATATAGATTGTTTGTACAAATTATATTGTTTTGTAAACCCAAAAAACCAAAAGACCATGTTTCCATTAATGAAAATAAAAATTTGTTCATATCATTAAGGATATTTTTGAAAAAAAATAAAAATTCCATTAAAGTGAATGATCATGTTTTAATGGTATTGATCTACAAATTCATAACAAAATGTACCCCGCTAATGTGTCTTCATGATGTTTCTTATTTAAAAAAAATTGTTTTTATAAACCACAAATGGTAATTATATCCCATTAGACTCATTTCATATATTTTATTTTTTACTAGACTAAATATTTTCAAAATAACAATAATACCTTTAGTATTAATTAAAAATTCTAAATTACAATTAAAAACAATAGTCAAATATTAAAATATAATAAATAATTGAAGTGTTGTTAAAAAAAATTTAAAGTAATTAAAATAAAAGAAAATATTAAAAATTAAAGTGTTGGCAAAAAATAAGAATTAAAGTGTTGTAAAAATAAAGTAAATAAAATATGCATGTTTTTTCTATGTTTTTTTTTTTATGAAAATCGATTTTTAATATGTGGAAACTGAATATTCCAAAATATTTTTTTTGCCATATTTCAGAATTGCTTATCATTATCCGTAGAATACTATATGTAGAATACAATAATAATATTTGAAATAAACTTAGATTTATAATAATCTGTTGATTCTGATTTTAGATTTATAAGTAATATGTAGATTCGATTTTTACTGATTTTAAAGAGAAAAGTTAAGCGGAGAATGTGTGTTTCAAATAATATTGGATTAGTATTATTTATGTAGGACATGTATTTATATTCAATGGAAAAAATGAATTTCATTTTGTACATCGTAGAATCTCAGTTTTATTTTATGTAAAATATAATCTGAAATTATAATTTAGCCATTTGTAGAATTTGAAAGAATACCGCTTAATTGATATAGGTATTTCTCAGTAGTTATTATTTTGCAATTTCTTTTTATTTATAAAACTATTTGTTTAATTTATTTTCAAAAATACTAAAAGACATTAGAGACAAAAATGATACAAAATAAAAATTAGCATAATAGAACATAATTACCATTTTTTGCCTAAAAACAATTTCCCTCTAAAAAAACAAAGAAAACCATGAACCCGGCTTTTCGGTTTTACTAATATAAGAATAAATCAACACATTACCACACATTTCTAAGACAAGAGGTTAAAACAGCATCATACAACACAAATAACTTATATCTATATATAATACTGCACACACGTACTATAATTAGTTAAAGACTTATTAAGCCCTCTACACTCTCTTAAACGTTTCAATTAAATTTCAGTTTTGAAAATAAATTATCTTTCGTTTTTATTAAGAAGGTCTGCTGCCTTCCAATGAACTGGTTCAAGTTTCCGAAAAAGACATGTAATTTAACTGTGGTACACCTTCGTTCAGAAAAACAATAAATTTAACTAAAATCATTTTCTAAAGTTAATTAAACCATAGTGAACTTCAGCTATTAGTAAATGTTTTAAATAATTAGAGCTAGCTAACTTCAGCTTCAAAAGAGGTTCTCTTTTTGAACTACAAATTTACTATTAGTGGTTATAACTAATTCTTATCTATTGTTGGAATTAATCCAATAGTTAAGATATATATATATATATATATATATATATATATATATATATATATATGTGTGTGTGTACTATGTTAATATATGCGCATTACACGGATGGGATATTATGTATACAAATTACTTCTATATATTATATATTATTTATTTCTATCTATTTACGAATTATGAAATCATAAAATACTGAATAATTAAGAAATGTATTAAATTAAACTACAGTTAGCACATAAATCAAAGTAAAAAAATCCAATGAATCAATTAATTTATTTTCTATGATATATAATTAAATTTAAATGATATTGACATAGTTATATAGTATATTTTAATATGAATATTTAAATGAAATTTTTTAGTTCGTATTCATATGATTTTATTAACATTCGTATATTTGCTACGAAAAACAATTAAACTATTAATCAAAAAGTTTTTAGTGTGAGATTTTTAATAGTTTTAGTAATTTATAATGGTTTATAAAAAAATCATTTCAAATTGTAAAACTAAATATTCAGGTCTCAATATCTTTTCAATGCAAATTTCAAAAAGAACATATTTTTATATTTTATATGGTATATAGTTTAATTTAGATATATATATATATATATATATATATATATATATATATATATATTTAATCTGAATATCTATTTAATGACATTTTAAATTCATTTAATTTTATGGTTATTTTTATTTTTTATAATATGAAAAAGGAAAATCATTCAAAAATTTTCATTGTAAGACTTTTAATAATTTTAGTAATTTATAGTCATTTTCAAAAATTTAAAATATAACATATAAGACAAAGATCTAAATTTTTATTATACGGTTAATATGTTGTTTAAAGTTTTTAATAATATAAATTAAACAAAAATGATGAATGATACAAGAACTACTACCAAATTTTTATTATTCAATCACTAGTTTTTATATATATGTTAATTATATTAGGCAATTTTGTAGTTTTTATTTAGAAAAAATATGGAGAATGTTCTTTTATGTATTACTAATCAGTTTGATAGTTAACTATAGTAGGTTTAATCTCAGTTTGATTATTGTCCCTGCACTGATATTTTGTCAATTTAGAATTTTAATTTCACACGCCAGTAATTATTAATTAGAAAGTAACGGAATCAGAACAAATATGTCTCGTCAACTTTCCCTATGGTGGTGGTGGAAAAGAGAATAAGATTCAAATACATATCATGATATAGGAGTGACTACCAGAGGGAATCGTATCAACCACTACAAAATTTGTATATATATAGAAACACCACGGAGCTTTTAATCACTCATCCATATCAAAAAAACTAAGACAAGTCTATATACATAGATTAAGAAAAATGCTTGACACACTTATCGGTGGGTACGGGCAGCACGGGTTCGGCCACAAGGACCACATAAGCAGTGGTTATGGCTTCGAGGGGCGCAGTGAATTTGTGTCTCATGAGGACTCAGGAAGGGGCCACTTTGATCGTCAATCCCGCTACGAGCACCAAATGACGCTTCCGGCTAATCACGGCCGTCCATCCATGCCTCGCATGCCTGGCTGTGAGGACGACTCAGACGATGATGGGTTCGAGAGGAGAAGCCATAGCCACCACACTACTGTGATGTCGCAGCACCAACAGAAACCCCATATGAACTTCGGGCCCTCACCTCCGTTGGCTTCCCCAAATCACAACGTAAGCTATATTCTCTCGTGTTGCAACCTTACTAGTCATGTTATGTTGAATATATTCTTTCCAAGTGCCTTGAAACATTTTAAACGAAAACATACATTATGGGGGTTTGACCCGTGGTGACACAATGAAACATGTGTACACACCACTAGCAATAAGGTTACATGTTTTTGTTGATATCTTAAAATATTTAGAAGTATAGAAACTTAAGAGTTTTATGGTTGATGTTGTAGTTTTAGTTTAAAAAAAAAATAAAAATTAGTGAAATGTTTTGCTATGGTTTTGGATTTATTGGTAATATAGCTACTTTTTATTAAGTATTTTCAAAGCACTAAGTAATGAACTGTAAAATAGTTAGAGAATGGTTGATTCACATTTAAGTTATAGAAGGAAATATTGGCTGTTAACCCCTTCCGATCGACCCATAGGAAGCTGAATTTTGTTCAGTAATTTTATTTGTATATATCTTGGGATTTGTTGTGATATGGTATGCCGTATACAAATGCACCAATTGTCCATCCACCCTAACAAACGGATTTGGGTTTTTATTTGGCTTCTCACCACTGGTAATCTGGTTAATGATGAATTTTTAGGGAAAGATGGGTAATGGATGGCAGGGAGGGCATGGAGATGGATACCATGGCGGGCATGGGATGCAGCAGCACGGTGGTCACGGCATGCAGCCTCACGGTGGTCACGGGATGCAGCAGCACGGTGGTCACGGCATGCAGCAGCATGGTGGGCATGGGATGCAACAGCACGGCGGGCACGGGATGCAGCAGCACGGCGGGCACGGGATGCAGCACCATGACGGGCACGGGATGCAGCACCATGACGGGCACGGTATGCAGCAGCACGGGGCGCATGGGATGCAGCACCACGATGTGCATGGTATGCAGCAGCACGGGGCCCACGGGATGAAGCACCAGGACAGGCTTATGGGTCCTCAGATTTCACCACATCATGTCTACATGAACCCCAACCATGGAAGTGGCAGTGGCCGTGCAGTAGTTGTGAAGGCTTCGGAGAACTGGCGAATGAGCAAGAGCTCCGGCGGCCACCAAAAGGTCGGGTGGGGGAGTAAGGGACTCTAACTGCACCACAATACTCTGCTGGTTCAAATAAGAAGTAAGGATTATATAATCCTAAATAATAATTTTATAAGATGTATGTGTGTGATGTTTCTGTAATGTACCAAAACCAAACACTGGACTCTTAATAAAAAGTGTTTTCGTTTCATGAACTTATGATTATTAGGGGTGTTGTTGTTGCTGCTTCACTTAAATAAAAGTTATGCAAGTATTAGAAAAGAATATTAGATATCTATGTATGTGGAGAATTACATATATGTACATATCTAATATTCTTTTATCTATATATTAGGTGATTTTCCCGTGTTCATGCACTGCTATAAATATTTTAAAAGAAAATATATGATAATAATTGATTACTATTTAATTTTAATTTTAAATTAATTTATAATTTGTATGCATCATTTATATTAAAAATATTATATTACTTTAATTATACTATAATTTTATATATGTTATATTTAGTCGATTTTGTTGTTTTTACGGTTGATTTAGTTATCACTTGGATAAATTGGATTGTCTGAATTCAACTGTAATATTTTTAAAAATAAATTAATTTTTAATTAATCACTAATTTGCATATAGTGGGTGTTGTTTTAGATATATAAATATATTTTAGGAAAATTATGTATAAATTAAGATATATTGTGCTTAAAATGAATTAAAAATTAACTAAAGTGTCTGATTCCAAAATACGTAAATTAATATAACGATAATATTCTAAAGTCTCATGCATATATATAGATTTTACAAAAGAACTAAAATTGTAAAAGTTGGTTAATATTTATTTTCATTTGTTAATATTCTTGAGTTATCCTATGATTAATAGAAGGTTACATGCATAAGTAGTTGATACATTTTTAGAAGATCATAACACATATCAATATTTACAATAATTAAAATATTTATAAATTCTAAATAACTTTATGCTTTAGATTTATTGAATGTAAACTAAAATTTATTTTAAATAATTTTAAAATTGGGAATTCAGATTTGTTTTGATATTTTGATTATGGTTATATTTAGTTTCACAAACATAAAAACATAAAATTTAAAAGAAAATTTAATATTAAGAAAGCATATAATTTTAATAATAATAAAATATCATATATCTAGCTCATTAAACCAATTGTTAATTATTTGATCAAACGATGTTTATTGTTAAATTTATTTTTAGGTTTAAATATCTCTTAAAAATAAGCACTACACAAAATTGTGATTGTATTTGAAAATAATATTATGTAAGTGAAATATAATTTATAGATAATTTTCTGTAATTGAAAGATATCATAGTCAACTAAATATATGAAAAATAAATAAAAAAATTCAATAATACTAATTATAAACTATTTTTATTACTAAAAAAGTGTATTTTAATGTTATTTAAAAAATATTTTTAAATGTATTATTGCTATTTTGTGAACTTTCCTTTTTTATGAAATCATATTATATATACATATATTTTTCGTTTTATGAATTTATAACTAATTTCCTTTTTATTACATATATTTTTGGAAATTTTGAAACGGAAAATAAATAAAAGAATTAATACTATTGTTTTTAACTATTTTAATTCATTAAGGGTATCAGTGTAATCAACCATCGTGAGAATGAACGTAAGAGCGACACATAGGAAACTAACTTCTCAAATAATATTATAGAGATGTCGAGAATTACATATATGTACATATGTATAACTCTCTCAGTTACATACTTTATATTTGTATTAAAATGTGATTAAAATATATATATACCCCAACCAACTATATTCTATTTCTCAAAATCAGTACACTACTAATTTTATTACGTATTTTTCATTATTGAACACTTATACGAAACTATTCAACTCAGAGGAATGTCTAAATTATTGACAGAAACATTTGTCTTAATGACACTGACTAGCCAGGGATTTATTTAGCTATTTATGTGGTTGACAGCCACATTTATTTTGGATAACTAATCCATTATCGTTTAATCATATGGTCAGACCACGAAAATGGTATTAATTGCGACCATCACTCTTTTATATATTTTCTAAGAAAAATAGCCACATCAAAAGTTCGAAATTATTGGCAAGTGTTAAGATGTTTTGAACAAAATATTTTTACATTAAGCCACGTAATTTCGTGGCTGTCAAAAGGAATTTTTTTAACAATGTTTGGATCAAATTTCACATTTAAAAAAATTGTTGAAATGTGTTTTGCCTCAAATTCCTTTTGCGGCGGCCACCTATTTACCTCGAAATTCATTTTTTTCCTTCCTTCATAAGTTCTATACCCTTTAATCCCACTAGATGAGTTTGTATAACAATCATGATAATGTTATGAAAATGGTTGTTGATGTTCAAGAATATCTCAACTAATGAAGACTTTTAAAGTCTTCACAAATTAGATGCATCAAACACAAAGCCAAAAGCTTATGTGGTCTAAGGATAAGCTTATGTGGTCTAAGGATGGCTCTTCCATCACTGGAAGCATTAGATGCAATTTTTATCAACATGATTGATAAATCCATTCCACAACGAATATATGCCTTAGATTGAAATATAACTACATGTAGTTGCGGTCAAAACACGCCATTAGGCATCTAGTGCCTCGAATAACCAACAAGTACTCTCGTTAACTTTTTTTTTCCTTGGGCATATATACCTTATCAACTATCCTCTAAGCCCATGTAGCCGACCTCTTCGAATCATTACGTTTTAAGTTTCCCTTATGTTGAACTAATCATGTGTACCAATATTTATTTTTGTTTGCTAAGAATGTTAACATCATTTCAAGAAATAAAATTTGAAGTTACAAATGTGATCAACAAAATATAGAATCTCTATACTTGGTTCCGTGATAAAAAAATCAAAGAAAAAGAACATGGAAGCAAAGACAATCGGTACAATATCCGTTTAGCTTGGTAGCAAACATGACGGGAACCCCATATATGTTATTGTTAAATGTTAAGACCGCTTCAACGAAATAAAATGGTGGAAACCTCAATAAGTAGAATTCGTGTAACAAGGTTATAAAGTATATTAAACCATAGTTCTCATACTGAATTTAAGATGCTTCTACATACTTGGTTAGTGATGGCACCACAAATGTTAGTTCAGACACTTGATAAATCTGTTTAATCATTGAATATTATGGACCAAAGATCAAATTGCTACCAGGAACACTATGAGAGCCACTCTCACAAAGTAAAAAATATTTGATAAAAAGGTTCTCTTATTAAAAAAACAAAATAAAAGTATTATGGTAAAAAATTGATAAATGGTGAAATTAATTAGTAAATTGTCTTGAGAATAAAATAAGACTAAACATTAAATGAAAAAAATAAAAAACATAGTTGAATAACTTTTAGCCTTCAAATGACCTTAGAACTTCCAAGTTCTTCACCTTTTTACTAGAAATGAAACAAGTGTTTTGGACTTTTCAAGAATTTTATTACAGGCTCAAACGGTCTGAACTTGATAACTAACATCAATAATTAATTTTTAAACGTTCTCCTTGTCGATGAACTCATGAATTAGCTCAACAAAATACAGTTTGAGTTGCTTAAGTCATGCCTTTGCTAATGGTCTTGTTGGGGTCTGTCATGCATCTTTCTCAATGCCTTTGTCTTTTTTTTCATGATTTTATCGCCCTCTATTTTCAAAGGCTTTGTTCTCAAACTCAATGTTACGAATTCTTACACAAATGATCAACACAAGAAATTTAGTACCAAAATCAAACCAGAACAACTTTGATCTTTTATTCATTTTATAACTTTTCTTTTTTTTGGCTTTTTGTTGTTAGATACGAAAATAAGTAAAAACAAGATGAAAGGTAGAACAAACAAAAAGCCAAACACCAAGATGAAAGTTATTCATTTTATAACTTTTCTCTTTTTGGCTTTTTGTTTGTACATGAGCATAGATACCTATAGCAACTATCCTCTGCTTCCATTGGCCCAACACCTCACATTTTCCATATTAAAGCTAATCACATGTCGAGATAGAAAATTCATCTCAGTCTACATTTGTTCCAAATTTTCTATCATAGTACAGGCATCTTGTTCTGTGGGGTTTGTGTCAGTTAATGATGTCTGACGTAGAATAATGGAAGAGCATAGCCATGGGATAGGTATTTGTCAAACAATCTTTAGTTAAGATTATGTTCGTACATATCCTTTCTCAGGTTTTAGGGCCGGGTTTCCTTCCCAAGACTCTCAAATGCCTAAGTTACATTATGTTTGTCAAACAATCCTTACCGCCTACGTCGAATTGTGACTTTGTTAGCTTGTGTTACTTGTTCTAATGCTTATTTTGTTTTGTTTGGTAGTTGGTTAGCTTATTTATACTTTATGATTGTAATTAGGTATAAAATCTTTAATTTACTTTCTCCTTGAGTTAGATTAGGCGAATACTTGGAGGATTACTCTTTGCTCCTTTGTAAATTCGACCCTTGCAATTAATGACTGTTACCTTGTGAGTAGTATAATAACATTTTATTTTTAATAGAACTAAAATCGCTGTCATTAGACTCATTTCACTGTGAGTGTATATTCGAAACATTGTGGTGGCCTTGGGTGAAGAGCCTCATCCGAGGGAGTGGAACTCTCACACTACAAGAAACAAGGTCTTATACCGAGGCTCAAATTTGTCGGAACATCATTGGAATCCTTCATCTCCGAGGCTTTTCCGAGAAATCATCATATGTCGGCGTTTGAGCCTCGGAAACAATCAATAGTCGGGAGATTGTCGGAAATGACCGAGAAACACAAATTCTCGTAAAGTCGTCGGTTTGTGTCATCGGTGTCTCCCGATGTTGTTCCGACGATTTAATAAATTTAATTAAAAAAAAAACAAAAAACAAAATAATGAAAATTATAAATAAAACATAAATAATTATTATCAATTTTCATTATATAAAATTTCTAATAAACAAAATACAATAAAGAATTCACTATGGCGGTGGAAGGATTTACGGCTGTGGTGGTGCTAGTGATGCAAGAAATAGCGACGGTGGTGACAGTGAAATAAACGGCGGCGGTGGTGGTGGAAAAAAGAGGAACGGCGGTGGAAGTTGAAGCATGGCTACGGTGGTGGATCTTGAAGCAACGGCTAAGCTGGTGGACCTCGAAGGAAAGGCTACGGTGGTGGATCTAGAATCAACGGAGACGGTGGTGGATCTTGAATCAACGGAGACGGTGGTGGATTTAGAATCAACGGCGACGATGGTGAATCTAGAAGCAACGGTGGTGGAAGAAACAGAGACGGTTGTGAAAGTGAAAGGACTGTTGGGAAAGTTTGTGGCGTAAAGAACATTTAGATTTGTCTTCTTAAAGAATAGATCTAGAAAATGAGATAATGGGAGAAGTACTGAAGAAGGAAAGTGAAAGAAAAGAAGTTTAAGACAAGAAAAAAAAAGTTGAGAACAAATATGAATGAAAGAAAAAGAACCGGGTATACAATATTTAGGGAAATATTTATGAGATTGAATTGATAAAATTAATTACAAAATTGGTTCCGAGAAAATTTTCTCTATTTTTCTGACGTCGTAACGAGAAATTAGTATTGTTGTCGGTAAATACATTTTCCCGATAAACTTCCGAGAATATGTTGCGAGAAACTACCGACGAAACCTTTGTCTCGGAACTTTCCGATCAAACTCCGAGAAAGTGTTTAAGTTCTCGGAAAACTCTCAGAAATATGTCATTACTTTTCCGATGAAATAGATTCTCAGAAACTTTTGTCGGAGTACAGACCTTTTTCTTGTAGTGTCATATGTTACGAAGTGTTTAGATTATCTACTATGAAAAGGAGGGGGTGGGGGGGGGGGAGCGTTCCCTGTAGCTTGTCCACGAACCTTACTCCAAATCACCCGTTTGAGAATTAAAATCTTACTCCAAAAGAGAGAAGAGAACTACAGAAAACGGGTAGGATTATCCAATTCATTACACTATCAAAAAGTTTGATTACATGAAAAAGTATTAATATAATTGACTCATTTTATAAATATTTATAATGCATTTTTCTGCTGTCATAACATATATATATATATATATAATTATACATTTTTCTTTCTAAATAAACAATTATAAATATAATTTTGATCTAAATGTTAAATATAAAAATATAATTATATTATTTATTAAAATACATAGTTTGATTTACGAATATACAAGTATGCCAATCTACCCAATTGTATCTTTCAAAATCATTAACCAATTAATCCAACTAACAAAAAATCATCATTCGATTTCTCGAAATGTGTTTATCATCATTCAACATTTATATCTGACTACTCATCACCATATATTAGAAAATACCCTATTTTCGTGTTATAAAATTTGCAAAAATTGTAAATTACATTTTCTTGTTGAACCTCAATTAAACTACAAAAATCCTTCCATTTTATTTATTTATTTATAGGTTTGAGTAGTTTTGCGGTTGGGTTTAGACAACTTATACATAATCGTTTTCAAAGTTGTTCATATTGCTCGTCGATTGATTGGCAAGTCTGAGACAGAAACTAAATTAATATCAGCCATAATAGAAAAACTCAATAAATTGAGCAATACTGGAATTATTTATTTCTGTTATGTTTCCATCAGTATTTAGTTCATTTGAATTTCCACGTGAACTGGACTTATCTATTAAAAAGACAAATAAGAACAATTATGTCTACTTCAACTTTGTATGGTGGTGCTAGAAAAGAGAATAATATTCAGATAATATATTGATATTAAGATTACTTAGTAGAGGCAATCGTATCAGACAGTATGCTAAATGAATACTACACCACACTACAAGATTTGTCTATAAATGGAAACACCGGAAAGGTTTTAAGATAACTTATCCATATTAAAGAAAACTAGACAAGTATATATATAAAAGAAAAAGAAAAAAATGCTTGGTGCACTTTTCGGAAATAACGGGCACAGAAACGGCCGCAAGGATCGCAGAAGCAAGACCTACCGATGTGATGACTCTGACTCAGACTCTGACTGTGATGCTACACCTGAGCACAGGGTAAGCTAACTCTTTTGCTGTATCGATGGTACCAATCATGTTATCGGTGTTCTCTTTTTTTTCTTGTCATCCTATGCTTGTGGCCGATTTTAATCTAGAGAACTAAACAGGTTTCAAGGTTCGTTGGTGATGTGGCAGAACATGTGGTGCGACCTTTTGAAATGGCAACAAAGATGGTGGTGAACCCAGTCCATAACTTGCTCTTCTCTCCTCCTCCCAAGGTATTTTTAATTTTTTTTTTTGATAACATGTATTATGATTGATGTAAATCGTGATGACGAAGTGACGATACTAGTATAAAACCACTAATTTTGATGGCATCCTAGAATATTTAGAACTCGTGAAGGATGATGCTAAGATTTTGTTAAATAAATTGAGAATTCTTATCTATATATTTCTGTGCTGTGTCCTGTTTCACCTATTCTTTTATCCTATTAAAAACCAATTTATTAAATTTGCATCGTTCACAGACCATCTCCAATAGTGTTCTATAATTTTCTCTATATTTCACTCTAAAATAGTGTAACTTTATAATAGAATTGGATTTGCTCCAATGATTTACTCTATAATAGAGTTAACACTATGATAGAGTGGGATATAGAGGAATGTTGTTTTTTCACTCTATATTTGGAGTAAAAAAGCAACATCCCTCTATATTTCACTCTATTATAGTGTAACTCTATTATAAAATAAACCATTGGAGCAAATACAACTCTATAATAGAGTTATATTATTTTAGAGTGAAAATTATAGAGTATCATTGGAGATGCCCTCACCATTGTTAATTTCGCTAATGGAAATTCAGCAGGGAAAGAAGGGTAGGCAGGGGCAGCACCACAGTGGGCAGAGGATGCAGCACCATGGCACACATGGGATGAAGCACCAAGACAGGTTTATGGCTCCTCAAGTTCCACCACCTTAAGGGACTCTTAAGTGCACCCCAAATAATCTGCTGGTTCAAATAAAATGTGATGTATCCTAGTAACAAATAAGATGGATGTGTATGATGAACATCTTTGTACGTCCTAAAACCGAACATGGGACTTTTATAAAAAGGTCTTCTCGTTTGATGAACTAACTAATTACCAAGGAGTGTTGTTGTTGCTGTTTGTATTCAATAAAGTGATGTATTATTAGTTACGCCCATGCACGTGAAGGATTGCACAAAATATTAGTTTAAGAAATATTATGGTGTAACAAAAAACCATCGATTGCCAGCAGAATCGGGTGCATGTGAGAGCTAGGGAGGGGGATAGCTGACCAATCTTTTATTTTTGTAAGTGACTCCTATAAAATTCAAACCTACGTCACTTCAGTTAAAATTTTTTTCTTTTTTTTTTTTTTGATAAAGGGCTTATCAGTTAAAAATAATTACGTGAACATGTTAAATGTTATCAAAATCCACATACATCATTTCCTTCCGAATCCATATGAGTAAATTAGGCACTTGAAATGTGTTTATTGCCTCAAAGTTAAAAATCGTACATATATCAATATTTAAAAGTTAAAGGGGGATATCATCACCATATTTACAAGTTTGCCATTTTAATTGAGATATCATCACCATATTTTTTCTTAGAAATATTTTTAATAGACTAACATTTACTAGAAAAATTACATCATATGTTATTGGTATTCATATATTGAATAAAATGACATTTACTACACATCTGTTTATCTTATGATTAATCATATAAAAGAGTTCACTAAATCTTTGTCCAACACTGAATTTATCAGAAATAGCTAAGACCCAAGAAAAGTGAATAAAAGAGTTTACATAGCTAAGACCCAAGAAAAGCTGAATATACAAAATCAAAACTCAAATCATACGGAACGTAATTTATCAGAAATAATGAACTAAAATTTAAAGTATAGATATTATTTTCATACATTTTCACCCCGTGCAAGACACGTGTCTCTACCTAATTATCATTATGTGTCCATCAGTATTCAGTTCATTCCAAATTCAAATTTCCACATGAATAGACATATCTGTTAAAACGATCGAATTTCCACATGAATAGACATATCTGTTAAAAAGATGGAATCAGAAAAGTTATGTCTACTCCAATTTTTGTATGGTGGTTGTAGAAATAGAATAATATTCAGATAATATCATGATATCAAGATTACTTACCTTAGAGAATCATATCAGGCAGTGACTTAAACCGATAATGCACCATACTAAAAGATTTGTATATAAATAGAAACACCAGGGAGGTCTAATTAACTTATAAATATCAAAAAACCTAAGACAAGTATTTATATATAAAAAGAAAAAAAATGCTTGGTTTATTTTTCGGAGATAATGGACACAGGAACGGCCGCAAGGATCGCAGAAGCAAGAACTACCGCTGTGATGACTCAGACTCAGATTCTGACTACGAGGCTCCGCCTGAACACAAGGTAAGCTATCTCTTTTGGTGTTATGATCATACTAATCATATTAGGTGTTCTTTTTTGGTCATCCTATGCGTGCGTGGCCGATCTTAACCTAGAGAATTACACAGGTTTCGAGGTTCGTTGGTGGTGTGTCAGAACAGCTGGTGCAACCATTTGAAATAGCAACAAAGTTGGTACTGAGCCCACTAGACAACTTGCTCTTCGCTCCTCCTCCCAAGGTGTTCTTAAACCCATTTCTAAGATTGTTGTTGTATAAATAGAGGATTGTCATCAATATAATTTGGGATCTCATTCGATAAATCATGTGCACCTATTGTCCATCCTATTAAAACAATTTTATAATTTTTGTATGGTTTTCACCATTGGTATTTTAGCATGAAAAGAAGGGTAGGCAGGGGCAGCACCACAGTGGGCAGAGGACGCAGCACCACAGTGGGCAGATGATGCAGCACCAAGACAGGGTTATGGCTTCTAAGCTTACTCGATATTAAGGGACTCTGACTGCACCCAAATACTCAAGTCAATAATAATTATGTATCTCATGAAATAAATAAGCTGTAGTGTGTGCTGAACAGCTTTTAGTATCGTAATAAAACCAAACATGGGACTTTTAACAACAAAAATGTTCTTGTTTGATGAACTTTCAATTGCTTATATGGAGTGTTGTTGCTGCATTGCATGTGCTAATAAAACAGATATATACGCTGATTGTTCCATGCACGTGGAGAGATTAGTTGCACAATATATATAGCATCTCTAGTCCACCTACTTTTTCCTTTAAAATAAAGATTATATTTAAAAATTTATAGAAGAGGAAGATTGCTATATTAAGAAAATACACTGAAACAAATCATATATATATATATATTATAGAGTTTATCTATTTTATATGAAAGATACCAAAATACATTGGAAACTGTCTATAAACAATATCATTTTTCCCTTCAATACCACTTTATTTGGAGATGATGTTGTTGACTTCAACACTTACTTTCAACGCTAATGTTAACTACAATATAAATCATAGAGAAGCATCTCACTGCACATATATAATATGACTATTTTAGAGCATTCACATCAATGAATCCCTTCTTGGGGTTCATTGATTCAATTTTTTATTATTAAAATTTTTTTTTCTCTAATTTAAAAAAAAAACAGACCAATCGCGGACCGACACGTGTCGTGGGACCCGTGCTACAGTGATGAACCGGGTTCACTGCAGAGAACCTACAAGAGGCAGGTTCATTACTATTCCTTATTTTAATATATTTTGTTTTTTGATAAATGTGTGAACCCCATCTGAACTTTTATGGGGGTGCTCTTTATGAATTAAAAATAAAAAGGAAATAGTGAAAATGGTTCTCAGTTGAGGAACTTTGATAAACCCACCAAAATTATGAGTACATTCGATACATAGTTTTACTAGGGCTCAAAGGAGGCGACAGATATGTGATTACAGTGAGTGTTGCCGCGTGTATGTAGGTGTGTGCCCGCTCAATCAGTGGTCGTGTGACGGCAGGTTGGCTGAGCCTACCGCATGTGAAGCTCAAGAGTCGTATTGATGTGTCATCTATGGCAGATGCAGCCTCGTCTCAGCGGCTTCTCTCATTTTCTTCACCCTTCTCATGTTCTGAATCAAGTCTCTTGGGTCATTGTGTGACTAATAGTTTGTTCCAATTTCGCTTTGGCTGCTTTCCAACGTGTCTCCAGCGTGGTTAGCCCTGAGGCACAAAAGGTATAGGACCAGGTTTTCTTGTTCGAGCCAGGGTTGCTGTGCGGTGAGGAGACCTGATGGGAGATTAGTCATCCCAGTGTTTCATTGGTTACTTGGCCACCAAAGCAGATTGATCAAGGATTTGGAACACTTGTTTTCAGATGAGCTTTCATTACAGTTCATCTTGCAGGTGGTTGGATTTCATTGGTGCTCCTTGGATCATCAACTTTATCCAATATATCTTCCTTTGGTGCCCGAGGTTCTGGTATGTCTTCACAGTCTCTCTTTCCATTCGAGTTCAATTCTTAAAGTCAGTGAAGAATGCAAGCTTAAAGTGATCATCAAAGACAAGCTATTTGCGATGACAGGAAAAGATCGGCATCCGTAGCAACGAGGTAAATCTCACTCTTCAAGTGGTTATCATCGATCGACAGACAGATAACGGTTATAGATTTTCTAAAGATATCGGAACGCTCTGGTGGAATGTGTAGGTAGGCGAACGAAGCTAGTGTCATAATGTTTGATTTAGAATATTTTGTTCGATTAAAGTTTTTTTCAACACTTGAATTCCTGTCCCTTCGGGTGGATATTAATTTATAAAAAAAAAACTGTTACAAAAAAAAAAATTCATATGTTAAATATATACACACCCTAATTTTGAAAAGTTCAAATATCCTACATTCTATTTATTTTTTTTATGAAATCATATATTATCTGCCAGATTATTTAATTTGCTATATCATTTGATTTTGCTGACATGAATAGTATATCATCTAATTTTGTTAATATGTATACCACATGTACAATATAAAAATAAAATTAAAATAATCATTTAAAACCGTAAAACAGAATTATTTTATAAATTCTAACATTTAAATAAAATTAAATAGAAAATAAATTATAGTAAATATATTTGCATCTTATGTAAGAGTTATATCTTCTTTCTTATGTTTCAACCCTATTGTTTTTAATTATTTTAATTAAAAAAAATGTTGTAAATGTGATATCTACATCATCAAAATTTGATGTCTATGTCAGAAAAATTAGATATTGTGGCATATTATGGCATATGATGTATGATTTCACAAAAAAAAAATATTGGAAATTTATAAAAGTAGAAATATGTATTTTCATAGTAGTATATTTGATGTATACATTGAATATATTGCAATACTTTGAAATGATCTGATCGTTTACCACGAAAACTCTATAATCAACTTGTATCATATCGTTCCATTTAAAAAAAAAAAAATTAACATAATCAATTTGTGTTATTATTTTTTGTTTAAGAAACTCATTTTAATTCTCATAGTTGTAACTTACTCATCTGCTTAAACCAGCGATTTTGGATGGATGGTTGATCAAGATTGTGATCTTGTGGATCATTTTTGTTTATTCGGTGGAATATTTTTTTGTGGGCTAAGAAGAAGATGGAGTATCCACTACATTAACATATACAGACTCTGTATGTAAATGCGAGACACTACTTTGTAAACTGAATCTGTCAGCGTCTCAGTCTGGCTACTTGACAGCTCTCTCCTATTAGCTGGTGGTTGCTGTTGAATTGGAGGAGCCTTCAACTTTTAAGGACTTGAAATAATCCTTCTCTGCGTTAGCCATTCTACTCTGGAACATGGTCCACTCATTTTTGCATCTGTCCCTCACCTACAAAGCACACACATATGCGTCATGACAATTCTCAACACGTGAGAGAGATAAATAGCTTAAGAAAGTTTGTTTACCCCTTGCCATGGTGCTTTGCCGTCTGTTGCCTCACCCTACAGAAGCAAAAGAGAAATAGAGTTTGAGCAAAGAAGTTAATGACTGATCAAGAAGAGGAAAACAATGAGACATAAGAGAGAGTTTACTTGGCTGCCAAGGGAAGGGACAGTTTGATGGACGACCCACTGAGAATCTACTACACCTATCTTCTCATGTGCAGGCTGCATTTATACACAGTTTCATCATACAACAAAACCAAATAAACTTATCTTTTGCGTGTCAAAAAATAAACAAGATTCAAGTTGTCCCTTTCGTATACCTCAACACATCTTCTGAGTGCCAAGTCAAGTCCCCAACCGTGAACCAAATCATTCTGTTTTTTATTAGTTGAGGTAACACATGTAAGGAAGATTGACAAGAAGAGAGATTTAAATGCAAGCGGATGATGAAAAAAGGAACCTGGATCATGTGCCACACGCATCGCCAGGCGTCTCTTGAAAATACAGGAGCCATGATCTCCACAAATCTGCATTTGTCAAATTTCTAGGCTGGTTAGTTCATGTTACAAGAAAAAAAATCAACTCAGATAGGTTTAAACGTACGCAGCACATGGAGGGAGATGAGGATCTGAGCACCATCCAGGTTTTTCTTCTGTTATCCTAATAATATTCAAATCCCAAAATTTTGTAAAGTTCATTAAGCAGAAAAGTAATCATGTCTAAAATCTGATGGTTTTTTTTTTGTTAATCAATCATACTTGTGGACTTCAAGATCTTCTCTTCTTTTTGTCATTTGCCATGTTAACCCCTTGTTTGGTTCCAAACCAGGTTGTGAAATCTCCAGGCCATGCTTCTTCACGAGCTTTATGTACCTGGAGAAGATTATCAAAGATGAGAAACTGAAACAATATCAAGAGATAGAAGCCGTGTAAAGTTAAATAAGAACTTACTCTTCTGCATTAAAATTCTCGACTCCAAGGTCTTCATCCCATATGAATATATAATCATATCTTGCTACAATATCAGGGTGCAAAAACCTCTTTGCATACCACCTAACATATTAATTTCCAGGTGCCAAGAGAGTCAATAGTCACAAAAATAACTAGAGTATGCTCTAACCTAAAGAATCAAAAAGAAGTAGATACCATTTTGTCTGCTTTCGCACACTAATGTGAATAGCATTCTTGGACCATTCATACTCATCCCATTCAGTTACTCGGCCGTCATAATGAAACAAGACAATAGTGAAGTTCTCTGAAAACTGTTGACAAGACAATGAATCAAAATGTGACATTATATTTAAACGGCAGAACATTTATAAATAAACTAACCTTCTTTTTTTTTTTGAAAAAAATAAACTAACCTTCTTAACACAAGCATCAATATTTTCTTTCTGATTTATGCCCACAGTAAACGTCACGAGGTATCTTGGTTGGCTGGTCAAATCCTAAAGAAGCAAAAAAAAAGCCAATAAAACATACTAATATCTGATCATACAGCTAAAAAAATAATGGTCTGATGATACTAAAACTTAAAATGAAAATATAAAAAATGATTTGAGAACATACCTCCTGCGGTAAGCCCCATAATCTGCGCAAATAGAAGTCTGATTCAGCAGCAATCATACCCGGTGGCAATCTTTCAGTACCACGAGGATTTGAAGGAACCCATATCTGCAGACAACTCAGATATGAAACATAAAAATACAGACGGAGAAATGTGTATCCAATAAAATTAATAATTAAAAAAAAAAGTTAACAAACACATGTTTCTAAGTATATAGTTTCCTTTATGTTTCGCAAAGTGAAGTTCTCTGTTAATTTAGCAAGAGTGTAAAGTCCTCAAACATGTCTTATATCACTAGGGAGACCTTAAAGTCTTATTGTTACATATTGAAGTATGAAAGGGAAGTTTACCAAATTTGTAAAAGTTCCACAATAGTCATAATAGTTAAAGGAGTAGAAGCATGCCTTTGATTTGTCGATTGGACCAGATGAGCTGCTATCATTACTCTTTGAAGATGACCAAGATTTATGACTATCTGGAGTTGCAATTGCTGAACCCTTTTCCTCTATATATGAGATACCGTTTGAAGGAAGAAAGTTTGTTGGGAGACTCACCTGGAATATCAAAACAAAATATTTCTAAGACAAAAAATAACAAAGGAAATAACATATATAATAAAACAAGAGCAGAGATGATAAAGGTTGGTGCTACAAACCTTAGTGATTGATAATGATGGAAAAGATATTCCAATCAAAAAGCCGAACGTTACTCCAAAAAATGCAGTTGCAATTATCTTCATTCCATCTTTTGATTTCCTACTAATCGAACTGAAATAACAAGAACAAAAAAAAGTTAACTAAGCTTCTATTCAGCTAGTCAAATAAACGAAACCGAGATGAAATGATTACCTGCGTGAAAAGATTCCCATATCTTCTCCAAACCCTTGACTGTAGATGCAGGAGTCAGTCGCTGGGTTCCTCTCTGGCCTCCTAACAGTGAAGAAGCCAGGAACCTGATATTTTTTTAACACCGTGAGTTGTGGTCTAGAGGTTTCTGAAGTAGACACACATTTGTAAACAGACTAGGAGTTGCCCTTTTTAAATGGGCAGAATTGGTCATCAACCATACTTTTTAAAAAACTAGTCAATAAAGCAAAGTCATTATCGTAGAACCTACACAGATGTATACAATATAGTGCTTCTAACCCAACCATTGGGGAAAAGACTTGAATACAGAACTATTGACCAAACCTAGAAGGAGAAAATTAAAATCTAATAAAAGTCAAAACATACACCGATTAATTATTCTCCAGTTTATGATCACAGTTGCAAGCAAATGCTATCAAACAAGCAAGAAAATCACGTGCTTACCCTTTGACAAAACGCAAAAAAAAAACAAGACCATAAATCTACCAAGTCGTCTTACAAAATGAAACAAAACACATTGCTTAGATTGCAAGACAGGAGATAACAATAAGACAGCTCATGTTCAGGGGTGTATCAACTTTGATTTAAAGAACACTAGCCTTAAAATAATGTTGGACACGAATACGAAAATCAGTTTCAAAGCAAACCAAGTGATCAAAACTAAAGAGACGCAAATATTACCCAAATAAACTAAATTTTCTTAGAAAATAGAATTTGCCTTGATAGAGAAAAAAAGAACATTAAAATAGAAATGAACCTGGTTTAATCAAAAGCACGAAGGAGACAGTGAAGCACGAGAAAATGCTTAGCACAGAAACCAAGGAAGAAGTGCTAAAACCCCCGTGATCGCTTCTCTGCTCAAAGACAAACCCCCCAGAGAACGTCCCAAAAACGTGCAGAGAAAATGAGAAATAGCGTTTTCGAATTAAAAGAAACGCTTTTATGGCTAGTGCGTTTGTTTTCGTCGACCTTTATCGCCAGCGTATGTTTTGGTTTGGTGACCCAAAAGGAAAAATATTTCTGGCGTTTTTATTTTAGGTGCAGGAGAAGAACAACCGAAAAAGCTTTAAAGCTGGTTCATGTTTTCTTTTTAAAACATTAAATTAATTAAATATTTAGAACTGTGTGAATTTGAAAATAGAAATTCCAAAACGACAGTGGTGTTGCGGAGAAGTGTCTGGATTTGATTGGCTTAGCTCAAATGCGCGTAAAAGTAAGCACGACGGTTTAAAGTACCGACACGACAAACAGATTCGTACTATATAAACTCTTTGCTAGTATATGTTAAATGTGAATGTAAATGTAAACTACCAATTTCAATTTTCAAATTGTTATTTTGTAATATTCCTTGTTGCAAACAAAAAAAAATCGCATATTTTTTGTTGCAAACTTCTAAAATGTACTTTTGTCATAATCTTTGTTGCAAACAAAAAAACAGGCTGTGAATTACAAGAAAGGTTAGCTTAGGGGATCTTTCCGAAAATCACGCCAGAAATTTACCGTTTTAAGAAGATAGATTTTGCTATAAGAAAGCAACGGAACAAACATTGTTACAAATGGTAAATGATATCATTATTTCTTACCTTGACGATATTTGTATGAATTGGTTGATCAAAACAACTTTCTTCTGAGCACGACTGTTGTGTGTAATAGTAGAACTTGGAATTTATAGCATTGCTATATTTTCCGGTATTTAAAGACCAATGAAATTTGACTAATACATTTCCTAATAGGGTTGCCAAATTTTGAATTTACATATCCATCTAGTTTTTGTCAAAAATTAAAAAGAGAGTTGCCAAACTAAAATAAATAGAGAGTTACCAAACTGAAGAGTCCACTTTCTTTAATACGAGAGGTCCACTCTTTCTTTACTTTACTTGTTGATTTTCTTTGTTTTTCTTTTGGTAAAATTGATTTTCTTGGTTTACTACCGATTAATGTCTCAAATTTTAGGTCTAGTAAAACTTCTGGACCGGTGTGATTAGAGAGGATAAAATGATTGTAGGTTTAAAAAAGCTTTTTAGTAATAAAACCTCTCAAAAAATCATAATTAAATTCTTTAATTTTGTTACAAATAACCCTTCAACATTAATGTTAGTTTCTTTCTGTCAAACTATCATAAACATGTATATATCTAAGTTGATTTTTTAATTTTATTTTAAGATTCATCTTTAATTAAATGGTTATATTACTAAGATTTTTTTTAGAACATATTAATAATTAAGTTTATTTATCGAGTCAGTATTTATAGTTTAAAATGATATATTTGCGTTTGAATATTATAAATAAACCAGAATAATACATGAAAAGTTCTTCATAATATCGATCACTATCTACTTGTTCAAAGAAAAATATCCACAATTTGTATGTTAGAGTTTTCAATATTTTGAATTGTCAGGAGGTGAGACTTTTATTTGAAAAACAAAATGAGACTTAAGAGAGATTGAGATTGGAAATGTGTTTTCTCTTCGTTCCTAAGTAAACTTACGATAAATTGTGACTGTTCGACATCTTTTCTTTAGATAGTGGAAAAATAAAAATTCTTGGTTACATAATGCTTAATTTGTGTTAATACTAAAATCATCGCCATTTTACCAAAAATTCTATAAATGCGATATATATTATATACTGTCACTATATCTCGAATTACTTTTTGTTATGTTGCTAATATTTCTCTTTATTAATGCAGTGGGAATATTAAGATCAACATTGAGATATTAGTTTTGACTAGCTTATTAGTGACAAAAGCTGAAACTATATTCTAAAGGCTTTTTTCACTTGATAAAGAAAGTAATATTTCATTGTGTAATCAAAATACGGAACACAAGCTACACAAATGGCTAGGTTGTGTAGCCTATTTGTCACAAAAGTCTTGCCTTTTTTGCTGGTTTCTGTCATAAGAATAAAAACTATATATTTACGTCACAATACAAAGTCTAACTATGTAGATATGACTCTTTGGTTATGTACATATTAAGTTGTTATTACACACTGACCAATGATCAATCACAAACAATAGACTATACACTGGCTGCACCACACATAGCCAAGCAAATACTCAAGGCTAAGAAAGTAACAAGGCAAATAGATGGAAAGGAAATCTATGTTTCATTGGCTTCAGGTACTGCCGCAGTGAAGGTAGGAAGCCACAGCTCTACACGAGTGCCGCCAGCTCCTATGGCTGCATCGGGGATGCGAGGTGATATAACCCTGATCACGCATCCATAACTCTCCAGGATCTCTCGAGCTACGGTTAAACCCGCCACAAAGTTCCATGTCATATTGTCTTCAACCATGTTCTCCGACAAGAGTTCTGCTCCAAATGGTGTTAGCGAATGCATTTGCGTCTGCATTGATGTTAACATTTTCATGTTAAGAAGGAATAGGGTGACTTTTGTCCAATTTGTCTAAAAGCTTTCAAGACATAAAAGCAGGAATCAAAATAGCAGCAGAAGATGAGTTTGGTCTTGTTTACCATATAGCGCATATCAGGACCATCATCATCAATTACTACCAGGCTACCGCCAGCAGGAGCTCTGGTAGACAAAATTTCAACTTTTCCTCCAACATGAGTGCGCAACAGTGCACCTTCGATGAGGTTACTCAGAGCCTGCCTCAGAGCCGGTTCTTCAACAGCAACTTGCAGGGAAGCTGAGCTTTCGCCTAGCTCCACCACTCTTTGCTGAGTAAGGGCAAGTGGTTTCACAGTCTCGACCATATCTAGAAGGACACTAGAAATGTCGCATGGTCTTCCTGACATAAATGAAAGAGATAAGCCCTCCAAACGCTACAACGAGCCGTTAGGTTAATGTCTCTGAAGCTTATACCTTGTGCTATGCGTTTGTAGGGGTGCCAGTGCCAGAGGTGGCATAGGCATTTCTGAATCATCAGATCCAGAACCCAAAGAAAGGCGTGTACTTGAGATTTGCGACCCATCAATGGGGTCCTTATATTCATAGTCACCGGAATAATTTGATCTCATTGTTTCATTATGTGTTTTGTTTATCTTCTTTAAGGCTTCTTCGTTGTGGCGGACTATATTAGCCTGTAAACCAAAAGGTAATGAATACAGAACACAAAATCAACTCAAACTAGATGAGTGTGGTTTGTAAGAAAACCGATGATCAACACAACTTAAACAGATATATGAAGACAATTTTAAAAAGAAGTATCAAAAGAGACAAAAGTAAGAGAAGGTGGAACCTTTGTCAACTGAACAGCATCCTGAAGTTCTTGAAGGGTATCTCTTATTTGTTCGCCTTGAACTATCAAGTCCTCGACAATATCATGTGAAATCTACAAGTTACCCAAAAACCCAAGTCAGTCCCACAATGCAAAGACTCGGGGAAAACAATACTTCCAGCCAAAACGTTAGTGCAAGGACCTGACTTCTCTTTGTGTGAGTTGAGAGCATTTTACTTAAGGTCCTGATGGTAGAGAGCGGACCACGGATCTGCCAAAAAACAGGAAAGTAAGATCTCAATATAAACAACAGGAGACGTTAACATAAGATCAACGTGTGTGGCTCGTACCTGCTCCACAAGCTTACTCATCCTCACGTTGTTCTGCCAAGATGACTGCTGAAGTAACATTGTTTTCTAAACATACACAATCAAAGTAAGAGATTATTCAGCATTAAACACACACAAGCAACATTTAAAATCTCCAATGGAGTAGGAGTATAAGAACAAACCTGATCCATGACATACGCCATAGCAAGGGTCCGTGAAATATTAATAGCATATGATCTCTGCTCGGCAGTGAAAACCTTAACAGAAGGAACTTTAACTTTCGGTGGTTTTGCTGAACCAGGCAAAGCATAAGCTTCCTCAGGTGAAGGAAACTGCTTCAAACCTCTCTCTTTCTCCTCCTCATCCTCCTCCTCCACAACCTCTTCTGCTTCAACTGGTAACTCAGCAACCAAGAAACCAACAACAAACGGGTGTTTCACCATCGGAAAGACAGCAGCTCTATGCTTGTTAACAACTTCAACCTATCATCAACATATCAGAAAAAAAAACTATAATATTAGGGATAAAGTATCCAACCTCCTACAAATCGTAATTAATATAACCTTCCGACCGGGTATAACTGTCCTACTAAACTCTCTCGATTCCAAGATTTCTGGCCGATAAGAGCTATCATATTAGGCATTAATTTCTGACATTGGGAATTTATGAGTTACGACCAATCCAATTATTACCAATTGATTTTAAATTGGAAGCCTAAGAAACTTAACATATATCAGCAGAGGAAGAAGAACTCAAATGACACATACTTGTTGACTAGAAAGAGAAGCTTCAGCAGCACGCAAACCAGCAGGGATACCAAAGTTCCCAACTAAAATCACAACATCACCACCATTAACATTTGGATAACACGTGACACGACGAAGCTCCAAGCGATCCATCACGTAGCTACCAGCAGGTCTTACATATACCTAAAACCAAATAAAATAAACTTTTTAAAAACATATAAATAAGAAAGAAGAGAGAAAAAGAGAGAGACGAACGGAGAGGACAGCGTTAGGATCCACGATTCGACGAAATAGATCCAACTGCTCGAGGCAAAGACGCTGAAAATCAGGACTCGGCAAGATGATCTTATCCTTCTCGATCATCTGCGTGAACTCTACTGGCGTCGTCGATGCGCCGCGTATCGCGGAAGCGATGGCGGAGGCGGAGGTTATCGTCGTCTCTCCTCCGACGCAGCCTCCGGATTCCGAAGCTCCTTCGGAGACTGTGTGGTGAACGTAGCGGAGACCGCGCGTGGGGAGGGTGAAGATGGAAGATGAGGAGGAGGCATTGGGGAGTTTGAGAGAGGGATTGGAAGGTCTAGGGTTAGGGAGGGGATTGGGGAAGAGGAGGTTAGGGTTTGATGAGAGGAGTGTTTGAGATGCGATTGCGGAAAGAAGCATCACTACTACGGTGTGGTGTGGGAGTTAGTTACACTTGTGGCTGAGACTGAAACTCTGCTGGGGAGGAGGAGGAAGACGATATGATTGATTGCTGAGTAGGGAGAAAATGACTCACTTTAGAAACGGCGTCGTGTTTGAAGGTGGATCACTTGATTAAACCAAACTGGAATTTAATCGAACCGAAAGTAAACCAAACTTGAATTCAGTCGACCCTAAACCAACCCAAACCAAATTGAATTGCAAATGGTTTCTTCTATAAAACCAACCGACAATAAAATTCTTCATGCCTACTTTAGAGCTGGAAACAAATGTTTGATACTCGGCTTCTATTCGATACTTAACTCGGTTTTGTTTGAAAAAACTAGTACTTATTCTAATCAAATTGAGTAATAAGTAAACATTTAATTACTCACAAGTATCAAATTCATTTTAATTTTTAACTACTTGGTTTGTTATTTGATTTATTATTTGTTACTTGTCATATATTATTTGGTTTATTAAATATTTAGTATATATTTCATCAATTAATTAAAATTTATGTATTTTGTGAGTGGCTACAATTAATTGTTATTTGTCTCATGTTCATTACTTGGTTGGTATACGATCTTTAAAGTTGAATATTTATTTTGCCTAAGATATGTATCAAATAGTCTATTTAAAACGTCTTCAAATACAAAATAATAAATTAAAACTAATTTTCCAGCGCTGTTTGGTTTATTATTCGTTTTTATTAATGAACAAAGATACGTTTTTCTAAATTATAATAGAACAACTTGTTTATATTATAATTTTTATAAGTGAATCAAACTTAAGTGATATATTTATATATGCATTTTTTATTTTTTATTTCTTAATATAATCTATTTCACGAATGACTAAAAAATCAGATAAAACAATGACTTATTATTTATATTTAATAAAGTTATTTACCTTTAAATTTTAACTAATTATCAAATACTTTATCAATAGTTATCAAGTAATTTGTAAAATATTTACAAACAACAAATAATAAACAAGGTAAATAACTAGCAAGTACATCAATTTTTTATAAGTACTTAAAAATGCAAATACTCATATAAGCCAAAATTTGAATACTCATATAAGCCAAACCGAGTATTAAGTATAGCGAAAATACTAAATACTCGGTTTGTGCTCACCACTAGCCTACTTCACATGAGCTGAATAATAAACTGAAACCGCTTTTAGAAATTGAAATTGAAATTGACGATATTAAGAAAAAGCTGACAAAGGGGAATATGTTTTTGTTTTAAAGAAATATTATAGACAGATAGTGCTACACACGAATTTCATAGGTTCTTCGGAAGTTCCATATGTAAATGAAAACTATTGAAGTTGCTCGTGCGATTTCCAAAAAACAAATGGAGAGATTCCGACTATTTAAAAAGAAAACAACTCAAACAGTCAAACTTCATATTTATGAAATGATTTAGTGACTGCTCACTCAAACAGTCTTAATATAATAGTACTGCTAAAACATAAAGCATTAATGAACACATGCATCATAGATACAACATATACTGAAGAAGATGAAAGCCTTTAAGCAAAAATAAATAAAGAAAACATATACGGAAGTTCAAAACTGATGTCAAAACGGTTAAAATCGGATTGTGGTATTGGTAGTCAAAATATATAATTGATAACCCATTGGTCAATAATATGCTAAAATGAGTTAGGTTATAATGGACTAGTTGCATACTTTCCGCGCAAGCGCGGGGCCGGAATCATTATGTTTGCGTTTATTTTTTTCGATTTAGTGGTTTAGTGGATTCTTCTAATGACACCAAATAATAATGAAATGGAAAGAATATAGTAAGAGTGTAAAGTGAAAATATTGTATATCTAATGTGTTAAATGTTATTTATATGCGAAGTAAGGTTTATAGGAACAGTTAGGTTATANCGCAAGCGCGGGGCCGGAATCATTATGTTTGCGTTTATTTTTTTCGATTTAGTGGTTTAGTGGATTCTTCTAATGACACCAAATAATAATGAAATGGAAAGAATATAGTAAGAGTGTAAAGTGAAAATATTGTATATCTAATGTGTTAAATGTTATTTATATGCGAAGTAAGGTTTATAGGAACAGTTAGGTTATAATATAGTTTTTAGTGTGTAAAAGTAGGTGTCTATTTTTTTTTTTGCTGTAAATAGTTTTTATATCGTATGTCAAAAATTGATATAATTCTATATTTATAGTATTTATATTTGTATTAAACGATTTATCAATTTAAAAATAACATTAATTAAGTTAATATTCGTTGTTTAAGTTTCATTAGATTGGTTTTTATATATGATTTTTTGTAAGTTTGGGTTTTGTTCATAAAAGATGTGGCATTTTTATCTACAGCGTCATCTACTGTGGGAATTCATTCGCCGAAGTCTGGAGTCGGTGGTGAGAAATGTTTTCAATGAAATTATAGTAGTTATTAAAATGTAAGAGAAATTACATATTCATTTAATAAATAACGAAAAATACTTAAATTTTGTTGTTTATTTTATTTTATTTCACATACAAAGTTTTTGAAAATATATTAGGAATGAGTTAAATGTTATTTATATGCGAAGTNTAGTAGTTATTAAAATGTAAGAGAAATTACATATTCATTAAATAAATAACAAAAATATTTAATTTTTGTTGTTTTTTTATTTGATCTCACATACAATTTTTTTGAAAATATATATTAGGAAATATGTGCAATGATTTCACTTTTTAAGCTCTTAATCTATATTATTCAGGCCTCATTAAGCCATCCACGTAGGTAGCCGCGTGGGATTCACTTTTTTTTTTGGGTCGGTTCGTTTTTGGATTCATTTTTTATTATTTTTGGGTTGAACTATATTACAATAGGATAGTTTTAAGGCTCTTTAAGCCATCCGCGTAGGCAACCGCGTGAGACTTGCTTTTTTATTGTTTTTTTATTGTTCGTTTTTGCATCCATTTTTAACTATTTTTGGTTTGAACTCGTTAAGCTTTAGGGTTTATCCAACTATTTTGATCTTTAAAACAATAAACCATAAAAAAAACATAAAAACCTTACAAACAAAAAGCCCATATGATAATAACCCAAATAATAATAAAAAAATGATGGATGCGTGTGGTTTGAACCCACGATCTTGCATGTTTAATTAAACACCTTATACCACTTGGCTAAAGTGTATTTCATTGTTTGTAATCATCTTATCAAGACTATAACTTTTTTTAAAAATACATAGGGGACCCACAAAACTGCTGACGTGGCGCGTTATGGAACCTAGAAAGTGTACTATTATAATATGGATTAGCGATAACTAACCATGTGATCCATCAATTTTCCCAAAACAATAAAACTAAACTAAAGTACGTATAATTTTATTGTTTTGGTTAATCATCACTAAGCCATTATAACAATAAAACTAAACTAAGGTACGTATAAGTTGTCCAAAAAAAAAAACTAAAGTACGTATAATATTACTGATGCATGCATTTTAAAAATGGGTTTGTGACTTTGTAAAATCATTGTAGTTATGTTTCGTACATCTTGCCTTACAGTTTACTATATCACATACTGTGAACTGATCATCAAACCTAACAATTATGTAATATTGTTTATTTATTTTTATTATATTATAACAGTTCGATGGTTCTGTACATCTTGCCTTACAGTTTACTATGTCACATACTTTTGAATGGTTTACATAAATACAAACTGATTGGTTCTGTGTTTGATTGACTTTTTGTTAACGAATTTTGTCTGACCTTTTTGTCAGCTAATTTTGTTTGACTATTGATGGCACATCTACCGAGTTTCTTTTGAATGGTTTATATAAATACAAACTGATTGGTTTTCAATTTTTGTTTAAATGTCAAAGAAAGCTGAAGTAGGGATATGCACAAAACTTAATATTGGCAATTTTTTCAATATTTTTGATTTGCTCCTTATTTTACAAATATTGAATTTACCTTTTTCTTTTTGCTTTTACAAAAATAAGAATATCTAAAAAAATATTGGATATCTAGAAAATTTGTATATATTTTTGAATATCTCACAGTACAAGTAAATCTAAAAAGATACATATATAATTTTTTTTCTTGATTTACTACTTTTATAAGAAATGTTGTGCATATAGAAATTATTAAATAGTATGTGAAAATAGTTATATAAACTTATACATTTAGAATTGTACATTTAATCATAGATATAGATATACATGTATTTATATATGTCGGAGCAGAATGGATATATATCATTTAAAATTTTTAATATTTATGATTTTTTTTTTCTTTCATCTAAAATAATTAAAGGGTCAAGCCCAAAAATCAACTACAACCATAAATAAAAAGGCCCAAACAAATGGCCAAATTAAACATGAAGTTACTAGGCCTACAAGCCCAAAACTAGAAAACCCTAGCAAGGGCAAGCGCACAACACGCCAAGACCCGCGCCGCCGGAATCTCTCCGTCAAGAAACAACTCGAAACTTTCATCGTCGCCGGAGACCTTCCATTAGAGAGCATCATCGCAAACCCCGAGATCTCATCTGAATCCCCAGCCGATCAACCAACCATCACACAAACACCACACAGATCTACGAAATCATTAGAGGAATTAAACGCTCTCAATCGATCTGTCATCTCCGACAAACGTATGCGGTAACAGATGATAGATTGAGAGGCCGAGTAGCAAAAGAAGCACAAACTCATAGATCGAGAGAAACACGAACAAACCGAATAAAAAAAAAACAACCAACGAGAAACTATCGTTTCCCAGGAACAAAAGCCGACGATAGCGGTGCTGTAGGAGCCACCGCCTCCCGAAAACTTAAACTGACGATAACGGTGCTAAGAAAGCCACCGCCTCCCAGAAACTAAACCGACTACGGCGGAACTGAAGGAGCTTCCACCTCGCGGGGACAAGGACCGGCGGCGGCGGAGCTGACTAAGCCTCCACCTCTCGGAAAAACCTAACCAGGCGATCTACTTCACCAACCATAGCCTCCACACGACCGCGTCCTCCCTCCAAAACATAGCCATCACAAAAGGAGACTAGCCAGAGTTCAGACAAGGCGGAAGAGCGGAGGAGACGACGAAGAGATTAAGGAAAAACAACTTTAAAGAAGAAACGGAGGGCTCCAGCGACGGCACGCACGCTCACGCGCCGACCGTTCGCCGGACCCAAGGTGAGATCTGTTTTCTCTCTCTAACTCTCTCTCGCGTATACCCTTTTTTCTATGTAGTAACTGTTTTCCCCTCGCTTATATTTATGATTTTGTTAGATGTTGATTTTTAATATTTGTTTCACAATTTTAGAGATGGAAACAAAATTTAGCTTTTTTATCAAAAAAAAAAAGCAAAATTTAGCTGATATTTACAATTTCTCTTTTGGTAAATAATAGTATAGATGTCAAATCGTTTTCTATTAGAGCCAATCATATTTTTATTTTATTTTCTTGGCATAGCTATAGCTAAATAGTCAACGATAATCTATACTATTATTTGCGAAGTAATTTTTCGCAACGGAGCTCTCACGTTAAAAGTTAGAACGGTTAATATCGATATTACCCTTAATGAATAAATATATAAATCAGCCAATAATAAAAACGAATTTAATATTTATTTGATTAGATAAATGATTTAAATTAAGAATTATCCATAATCTAAATATATATTTAAAAATAAAAAGATAATTCCTATATATATTGTGTTGTTATCCGGAAAATATATTTAATAAAAAAATTTCAAAAACATAAAACACATAAATAAATATTAATTAAGTAAAAACTTTAATTGTATATAACTGAAAATAAAAAAAAATTTAAAAAATTATAATACATAATTATTTTCAAATTAAAATAATATAATAATAAATATAATGATATATATATTTGTGAAGTTATTTCCGTCTCTGGACTCACACATTAAATTAAATTTATTTTTATATTTTTATATATAAGTAATCCTTAAACATGAATTTATCATAATAAAATAAAAAATCATTCAAAAACAAAAAAAAACGTGTTTGGCAAAAATAAATTTTAATTGTATTATTATCTAAACTAATATTATTCTTTTTGTAAGATCAATTTTTGAATTTATATTTATCGATTCAATTTTTCAAATTGAAAGATGGATTTCTATATTTTTATTAATTAAGAAGAAAGGAAACAGACTTTAGATTTTTTAAAGTTTAAAAGGAAGAAGTATATTTTTTAATTTGTGAATAAATTTATCATGTAAAAAAATTAATGTTTTAGGTTAAATTTTTTGGATGCAAATATCATTTATTTTGATGATTTTTAAATAGATTTAAAAATAATTAAGCCCGCATGTGCGGGCAAAACACCTAGTATCGAATTAAAAATGGATGAACTAAAAATATATTTCAAAGAGATATTCTGGAGAGAATGGAATGGTAGTGCTTTATGTGAAGACTTTTGAGACAAGTGGTCCAATTCTTTGACGTGAGGGAGCGGATGACTAGGGGAAGTCAACGGAACCGACGGGTTGATGTAAGACTTGCTAAGCCACAACCCCATTAAACAGTTTCTTCTTCTTCGTCTTCTACTTAAAAAAAAAACTAGTGAAGCATTACAGCATAAAACCAATTACGTATAACAGAAACTCTCCTTTGTTAAGCCATACGATGATCCAAGGCCATTTTTATAGCTTTTGTGGTGTTGTTACCATCTATTTATCACTCCTAATTCACACCTTTGCTTCTCCTCCGCTCCACTTTTGCCGCCACGACCAGAGAGATGCTCTTCTTGAATTCAAAGACGAGTTTCCAACTGATGGGTCAAACCTAAGTTCATGGAACAAGAACATCGATTGCTGTCTTTGGAATGGCGTCACATGCGATGATAAATCTGGTCAGGTGATATCTCTCTACCTTTTCGAAACACCTCTCAACGGCTCTTTAAAAACCAACAGTAGTCTTTTTAGACTCCAATATCTTCTTCACCTAAACCTTAGCAATTGCAATCTCCAAGGTGAGATTCCTTCTTCATTAGGAAACCTTTCTTATCTCAAAAATCTTGACCTTTCCGCCAATTATTTAGTTGGTGCAGTTCCAACTTCTATCGGAAACCTAAATGAGCTAAGAGTCATGTCCCTCAACAACAACAGTTTAAGTGGCAATATTCCTATTTCATTCACCAATTTAACCAAGCTTCATTTTCTAAGTCTCGATCATAACAGATTCGATGGCCCAATCCCCGAATCCATATCCAAATTTCTCAACCTCAGACGGTTATATCTTAGCCACAACAACTTCACTGGTTCAATCCCTAAGTCTTTATCAAAGTTAGTCAACCTGAAGGATCTACATCTTTCTAAAAACAAGTTGGAAGGTGAAGTACCAGGTTTCTTATGGAGAATGGACACACTGATGATTTGTCACAATTCTTTCAGTAGTTTTGAAAGCCCTTCACAAGAAACACTGGTCCAAGTGTTGGATCTGAGTTCAAATTCATTCCAAGGCCCATTACCTCATTGGATCTGCAATCTCAAAGGGTTAAGTTTATTAGATTTGTCTAATAATCGCTTCAACGGCTCTATTCCGACATGTTTAAAGAATTCAATTGTTTCTCTTTTGGACATGAGTCTGCGTAACAATACTTTCAGTGGATCTCTTCCAGATATATTTCACAATGCTACCAAGTTACGGTCGTTCGACGTTAGTCTCAACCAGCTGGAGGGGAAGTTTCCAAAGTCCTTAATCAATTGCAAAGCTCTACAACTTGTGAACGTGGGGAGCAACAAAATCAAGGACGAGTTTCCATCTTGGTTGGGATCTCTACCATCATTAAACGTTCTCAGCCTCAGATCAAACGAGTTCTATGGGCCGTTGTATCATCATCATCACCATGGGTCCATTGGATTTAAGAGTTTAAGAGTGGTGGATATTTCACATAATGACTTCAACGGAACGCTTCCACATCACTATTTTCTCAACTGGAGTGAAATGACCACTTTGACCCAAGGAAATGACTACATGGTGAATCCCACAAAGTCTTCACGTTACATGGGGTTGTTCCCGGAAGCAATTTACCGCTCGATGGAAATGGTTAATAAAGGAGTAGAGACAAGGTTTGATCGAATCCGACAAGACTTCAGAGCGGTTGATTTTTCTGGTAATAGAATTTCAGGAAAAATTCCTGAATCCATTGGTTTCTTGAAGGGGTTGCGTCTTCTGAACTTGTCGGATAACGTCTTCACAAGCAAGATTCCAATATCATTGGCGAATTTGACAAGTCTCGAGACGTTGGATCTTTCGTGTAATAAGTTGTCAGGTCAGATTCCACAGAATCTTGGTGATCTTGCATTTCTATCGTACATGAACTTCTCTAATAACCTTCTCCAAGGTCCAGTGCCTCGTGGCACACAGTTTGAAAGGCAAAATTGTTCTTCGTTCTTGGGAAACTCTAGACTCTATGGCCTTGAAGAAATCTGTGGAAAACTCCATGCCTTGAATCCAACAATACAGAAAGCTGGTGAATATTCAGAGGTGGAGGAACAAATGTTTAGTTGGGTTGCAGCTGCGATAGCCTATGGACCTGGTGTATTTTGTGGATTGGTGATTGGACATATATTCACTTCGCACAATCAGGGAACGGCTCACAGAAAAGTTTGGTCGAAGAAAACTTAATCGCTCGTTAAGCACAAGATCTCTTGCACTCTCTAATAAGCATATCTAGGCATAGTTGTACAACATATTATTAGTATGTATAAACGTAACTTTCACATTGTGTTCTCCAAAAGACTAGTTTGTGTTTGTTTGTAATTTCTTATTTATGTTTTGTAATTAACGTATATGGTGATACTGAAATATATTTTGGCTTGACGATGTAATAGGGAACTTCCTCTTGCATACATAGCTTCTCCCGCACGTCAATCATACTAACTAGAAAATAGCTCAATTTCTAAAATACAAACGGAGAGATTTCAGCAACTGCTCAAACATAAAAATATAACGAATATGTAAGAAACAATAAATGCACACAACATATTATTCGTAGATATATGAAAATAACGCAACAGTCGTCCCAATAATACTCTGCTAAAAGTCGATATTGACAATTGTTACATAAATAATATTATATTCATATCAATAATGTTGGCTTTATACATGAGACAATACATCGACAAATTTTACAGAAGATGAGGAATTAAAATAAATAAAACATAAAATGGTTTAGATACAATCCTTATTAATTGATACAACTCTAACTTATAAGAAAAAAAAACTCTAACTTATAAACAAATCTCTGAATACTGTGAGATTCTCGCCGGACTCATTTGGCCACGACATATCTTTCACATTGGGTAATTATAATTTTTTGGTCATTTTCCCATTATAAAACAAAGTACAGAGCAGAATGAATTCTTACGAGATGTCTCTATCTTTATTTTGTAAGGGCAACGCCTTTTGCAAAATTTGCATATAGGCCGCACTGAAGTATTGGGAAGAAACTGGGTTGTTTCTTTCCTAAATGTAATAGTTTTTCCAGATTTCATATGCGGATCTCTTCCACGTAAACAAATGATGTGGAGGGTGACTCCACATTCATTGCATGCATAAAAACCTCTATTTGGAAGTATATATTCTTCGCATATTTCACACCAGTAAAATTGGTTTGCTTTATAAGAAAAAGAGAGTAAATGCTCATCATGCTCGTACCTCGCTTTATGTGGAATAGTGGCGCATTTAAAGCACAAAACAAAATTGCATTTCACGCAATTTAAAGGTTGCCTCTCACCAGATTGACAAATGGAACACGTCATGTATGAGTATTACTCGCAAGTTACGAACAAAGGATGTGGATGAGAGTAGTGATCGAATGGCTCACATACAAAAGCACAAACTGTGTCTAACGTACAATCACACTTCTTGATAGGACACACATATGCAAAGCCGCATGAGAAATGCAAACATTTCCGACATTGAAACCAACTTTTGCCGAGGTTTAGAATCAATGGATGGACATGTACCATAGATTGCTTTACACGGGGAACATATGCACATGATTCATGTAGAATGAAATCACAATACTGCATACATTGATAAACATTACCTTCATCATAGAAAGGAAGTCTGCACGCTTCACAATGCTTGTTATCATCATGAAAGTTTTTGTTAAGGCTCAGTTCATGAGCCTGATGGCTCTGATGTATTATAATTCCATCAGCTATCTCCTCAAACATTTTGTTATTTTCATATGTTTCTTCAGGCTCTCCTTCAAGTTCTTTCCCATCACACACATCATTTCGCATCGCACATCTAGAATGCAATGCATAAACATATCTTTTCATGCAATAGTATTCTCCATAATTTTCATTTATCTTTGCATGACAAATTCCACAATCAGTCGACTCCTTGTGAGAAAGATTAGGAATAAAAGCGAGACGATGATCATGACGAGATACCTTTATGACATATGGTAAGTAGACACATCGTCTATGAACAATGAAATCGCATGTAAGACATACGTATAAATAATCAGAATTGTCCACCAGTGCACAAACATCGCAAACCAAAGTTGATTCTCTTCTGGGAAAATACTGAAGTGTATGCTCATGCCTTTTACGATTGTCTATTGTAAGGGGTGTTGGGTTTCTCGCACATATGGAATGGAGTGAAAAATCGCAAATAAAGCAATAATAAGATAGGTTAACAGAACGTTTACAAGTAAAACAATCTTTACAACTGCCTTCTGAAAAGAAGACAAGTTGAAGAGGATGTTTTGGATGATCAGAGGAATGAAAAATAGAAGGAGATTCAACACATTCTTTGTGATACTTCCGGCCGCAGTAGCTGCATAAATAATAATCTTTATCGCCAATATCTGCACGACAACCAAAACAATTAGCGTAGGATTCTTTTTTGTTGCTAAGAACCAGGGAATGGAAATAATTGGACTTTTCGTCTTCAGCATCAGAAATTAAATGAGAACTTCTGATTACACGACAGGGAAAAGCTTCCTCGTGGATGTTTATGGTTTTGATATCTTTCTCTTTTTCGTAGCGTTCTTGGGGACACAAGAGACGACATGAAGGAGATTGATTAAGAGAATACATGGGATGTTTTTGTTATTATGGTCTAAAAATATTTTATGTTTAATTGTGACGACAATTGACTACGCTATATATGCACATTGGGCAATATTTTACGTTTACAAAGACAAGGTAACACGCAAAGTATTGTAATTTATGTTCATTTCAAACTTTCTCACAGCAAAGCAAGAATCGATTCTTTGGTAAGACTTTTGTTTTAAGTTTATAAGCTTCCTTTCTTTATTCTTCATTTTCCAAAGAAAAAGAAAGTATATTGATCCAAGCAAAAGATGAGAGAATTATGACAGAGAAAATCAAAAGTGGTTAATGTGATTCACTATTAATTTATTTTCGTTATTAATAAGTTAAATATTTTATTATGTATTTAAAATTTTATTTTGTAATAGTTATTATTTAACTATTTATTATTTTCCTTTTATATCTTAAATCCTATTTTGATAGGCCTGGTCATCTTTGCATTAATACAACAGTACCATATATGCTTTTTGAAAGTGGGAGGGATAATCATGAATAATATAGCGCTCTTTGTTGTTTTTTTCTCAACTAGTGAAGACGTATCAGCATTTTGCTCTGCTTTTGTCGTCCTCAACCTTGTATCATGGATACTGTGACTTCTGACTGTGTTCATACACATGTCTAAGGAGGTTTCAGATGTCAGCTCTAGTTTGTGATACGTGTTAGTGTTGGCTAAGGTTGATATTTCTTTTTAGGTATTTAATTCTTAGTAATTCTTCATCTCCATGGTATCCTAGCAGCTACAGAATTTACCATTGCATGTGCCAATGGCATTTTCAAGGTCTTCTGAAAAAACTTGGTTTGGTTCAGAATGTTATGAACATTGACCCGATCCTCTCCTGCTGTAGACAGAGTTCCACTATATGTTACAAATTAAGCAAAAACAATTAGCAGAGGAATGAAATTTCCTGAACCAAAAGCGTCACCATATCCAGTAACTTCAAACAGAATATCAATTTATATCATAATATTTTTTCTTATGAGTATATTTTGTCAAGGTATATGCGGGGTTTGATTCCTTAGCTTTCAAAAAAATATCCAACCATTTAGGTAGTTTTATTTTGGGTTTATTTTCTCAAATTCAATTTTTATATATATTTAAATATTTAAAAAAAAAACTTATGTTTTGGATAAATTTTTAAAAGTTTGAATATTTTTTGGATGATAAATATCTGAATCTCATTTTGATACTGAATCAAATTATGTAAGAAAAGTGTATAAAATGTATTTGTTTCACAACGAAACAAAAAAAAAACAAATTTACTGTAAGCATACGGTGAATCGGTGATAAATTGTTTTTTCTTGGGGGGGGGGGGGGGGGGGG